ATATATATATATATATATATATATATATATATATATATATATATATATATATATATATCTTATATTGTTATTGCTAAAAGATATTTTACCACTAAAGCGTTTATTTTAGTTTTTTTAAATAATAATTTATTTTTCACTTTTTAATAGGTAATCCTGGGGATCCTGTTCAGGATAATGGGACGAACTTAACAGATGATTGTATTGTCATCGATGAATGAATGAATGAATATACTTTATTGTACACCACAAACAAATAAACAAATTACATAACAATAGACAGGTTAAATGTACAATTTGGCGGCCTTATCGCTACATAGCGATCTCTTCCAGGCAACCAAGGGTGTAAAGGAATAAACAATGAATACTGGGTAGGTGGTGCAATATAGACAATAAATGCAATAAAATAACATATACATAACTAACACATGAAATGATATAAAATACTAATACATAATAAAAGATAAAGTAAAGCATATAATATATACATTAACATACATATATAAGAGTATATAAACAAACTTACATATCTACCCAAAATACATAAATAAATTACAAATTTCCTCAAACAATAATATAAAGCTGATAAATACAATAAATACATAATCACATAATTATACTAACGGTCTCCGGGCGATTGAGACAAATAATGTTCTTTAAGTAGTCGCTTAAAGATTACAATAGATTGTGCTTCACGTATCGATCCTTGATGAGTATGCAATGTTTCAATTTAATCTAACGTTTGAAAGTGGTAACGTTGGAAAGAGTCGGTTACAAACAAACACAAAAACACACGTGAAGCTAATATAAAGCATTTTAATAAAAATAAACAGTGATTGTATACCCGCATGCCAAGGGTGGCAACCATGGCAAACATCCCCCTTATGAGGCAAGGTGACACCCATGTTCAGTAATAGACTTTTAATAGGCTGTAACAAATGAATGATAAACAAAAGCGAAGCAACAGATACCCTGAAAAGCTTGTGATTGACACACTTCCTAGATTATCTAAACATAATAAAAGCTGTCTATACATGTGTGAAATATATGATAAAATTCCTCAGCATATTAAAGTACTATCTTACTCAAAATTTAAAAAAGGCCCCTATAAGCGTCTCGCAGAAAGTACTTTTTATAGCATCAAAGAATTCCTAGATTACAATTTGACAAATGAACCACTACGATTTCACTAATCATGGACATTTTTGTTTTGTTTAATAATAATTAACCATTATTTTGACATTTAGTAATAATTAATAATTGTCTGATATTTCTAATAGGTATATTTAAAAATAATTAATAATTATCTCATGAGTAATTATATATAAATTTTAATTTCAATGTATCTTTCAATATTTTGTAATTAATAACTAAATAACTTAATAATCAGCAACTGAATTAGCTACATAATTAAATTTGATATTTGTATGCCTCTATGTAAGCGGTGAAACATGTTTGGCCTAAAGTGTATGTAATTAACACCTGTATTTACCATGTTTGATGCAAATAAAAGTTTTGAATCTTTGAAAAAAAAGTTTTAAATACATTTATACCAAAAAGGAAATATGAAGCTAGCGTCAAGGACAAAGGAGGTCTCAGATGTGTCACTAACAAGCGTGTAATGAGTATTGGTAACGAACCAGTAAATCGTAGATTCCTTTTTATTTTTCATTGAAACCTTTGCCACTTTTTTGCTTCTCTGATTGGCTATAAAGATAATTTTTTTGTGTTGCTATTTTCAGCGCTGACTAGTGAACGCCGTATATTTAAACGTGGTGGAGACACGCTGCAGCTATTATATTGTTACGAGCTTGGGGTTCGAGACAATTAAAAACTGCCGAGTGAAGTCGCCGGTTCAGCTTCACATGGAATACTGTTCCCATCTGGGCTGGGGCTCCCCAGTGCCAACTCCTTCCACTTGACCGCATCCAGCGCAGAGCGGCTCGAATCGTCGACGACAGAGTTCTTTCCGATCGGCTCGATTCATTGGCGCTGCGAAGAGATGTTGCATCCCTTTGCATTTTTTTTCGCATTTACCACGGATAGTGCTCTGAGGAATTGTTCGGATTAATCCCAGCCGCCAAATTTCACGAACGCACATCGCGGCAGAACTCCCGATACCATCCACACTATCTGGATGATTGGCGGTACACTACTGTGCGATTTAGAAGATGTTTTCTTCCTCGCACAACTTCCTTGTGGAATCGATTACCACCAGCGATTTTTCCGGACCGATAAGACTTAGGGACCTTCAATAAAAGATCTTACACCTTTTTAAAAGGCCGGCAACGCATCTGCAATTCCCCTGAAGTTGCAGTTGTTCATGGGCGGCGGTAGTCACTTACCATCAAGAGATCCGCTTGCTCGTTTGCCCTCTCTCCTATAAAAAAATGAATTAACAAAATTGACACTTTAATTACACAACACTAATTACAACTTCAAAACCACACTAATAAGCGGAAGCGACCCTTTTTTGGGAAAAGGGGGCGCAGGCGGCGACGAGCCGCTGAGGGGGAGTCTACTAAGGCAAATTTAAGAAGAGTCGGCCTGAGCCGCCAGGAGGCAGTTCAGGTCGGTTGAAAGCTTGTTTAGCGGGTCCGAGAGAGTGTTTCTCGGCCTTCGGACTCGATAGCGAGAGGGGAGTGGGGCTGCATAAGTAGCTGCCTCACTTTGAAGAAGTTCTCAGAGAGTGTTTTTAGAAATTGTTGAATTGTAGAAAGCTCTAAGTCTCGATGGAGGTCGGCGTTACGGACGTACCAGGGTGCGTTCGTAGCTCGACGACAGAAAAGGTTTTGAACTATTTGGAGTTTGTTGATGATTTTGGGGTCAGCGTGAGCAAATATAGGGCCCACGTAAGTCATGACTGGTCGTATACAGACCTTATAAAGGGTTCGCTTGTTTCGGAGGGACATTTTACTGTGTCGGCCCAGCATACTGTTGAGCCTACTCAGATAAAAACGTGCGTTCCGGGTTACTCTTTTGACATGGGGCGCGAAGGTAAGCCTCGTGTCAAGGATGACACCTAAATATTTCGCAGACGTATGCTAGGGGACAGGGGTCCCTAGCATACGGATTGGTGGAGTGTTTTTGAGGCGGCGTCGTTTATAATCGAAGTGTACGGCGGAGCTCTTCTCCGGGTTCACATCGATGCGCCATTTTTGGTACCAAGCTCCTACGTCATCAACTGACTTTTGGATCTTGTTCCGTATCTAAGGTAGCGAGATACCTTTACAATAGAGGGCAGTGTCGTCTGCGAAGAGGGAGAGCTGAACACCTTTCGATGGGATGGGAATGTCGTTGGTGAACAGGATATACAGGAGAGGAGCAAGTACTGAGCCCTGAGGGACACCAGCTTTGATGGGGCGCTGAGAGGAGAGCGCGCCTTCGTGTCTAAAACGAAAGGCCCGATACTTCAGGTAAGAGGCCACGAGACGTACAAGACGATTGGGGAGACCTATTTTATATAATTTGTAGATAATGCCTTCGTGCCAGACCCTATCAAACGCTTTTGCAATGGCGAAAAAGACCGCGATGATCTTATGACGACGAGGACAGAAACCGCTGAGGGTATATTCCACAATACGGTGAACTTGTTGGGGACAAGAATGTTTCGCTCGGAAACCAAATTGGTGGGGGATGACAAGAGGGTCACCGTCTGTGAGAAACAGATGGAGCCTCATGCGAGTGGGGATGACTCTTTCGAAGAGTTTGCCCATGGCCTTGAGGAGGCTGATGGGACGATAACTGGAGGGCAGGTTGAGAGGCTTTCCTGGCTTGGGAATACCAATGACAGTTGCCTCTTTTCATTCTTTTTCATTCATCATTTATTGCAGCCCATCAATATCCACAGCTGAACATACACCTTCCTATAGATTACGTCACACTTAGTATAGTTGGCAAACTCATTATTATTTTCATTAATATTTTTTTATGGAATAAGGGTGACAAAACGAGCACACAGTCTGATGGTAAGCGGATGCTGTGTCCCATAGACATCTATATTTATGCTAAATTAAAAATCAAAATGTAGATGCGTTGTCACCCCACAGGACTGAGATGGAATGCCTCTCTTCCAGTAAAAATGTGTCTCCAGTCTTCCCAACCCCACGATACGAAACACAGCAGCATCGAGCCGCTGTTTTACGCTGGTATTCTGTGAGAGCGTGGTACTACCCCGGTCGAGCCGACCCAAGGCCGCACCATAATATAGCTGAATAGTGGCTCTACCACGTGTATTAATGAATAATTTTAGGGAATAATTATTTGAAAACCAAGATCTAAAACAAATTTTGAACTTGTTTTGCCTTTTACAATCAACGCCTAAATATAGCGCTACTTTTGTGTTTGTGTGAGAGAACAGTTCTTTTAGTGTGAGAATTTGCGTGCCGTTTGAAAATATCCACTAACCCGTGAAAAATGAGAGGGAAACAAACCAGGAAATGCTTTTTTTCGGAAAGTGTAATATGCTGTTGGCTCTGCGGCCTTTACAGCTTCATCGAAATAGACTCGTAAGCGAGGACTTACGAGCTGTCGAGTGCAACGATTCTGCACAACTACAACCCCGAGGCACTGTCCCTGCTTTTGGAGTACATGTGTGCACACAAAATTTTGAGTGAGGCTCCTTGAAATAGTGGGGGGGGGGGGGTCGGAGGTGGGCTCGATGTGATTCAAGGGCTTCTCAGAAGGAGGTACGAACCTTGACTTGAATTACTATCGAAATGCCAGAAAATGGTTTACAATGCTCATTTTTAATAAATATACTTGGAAAGTTTCGTTCAGTCTCGCATAACTTTCTTTAAAAAATTTGCAATCACCTCTTCAGTGTATAATTTATAGGAAAATATATCAACTTCCAAAAGTATAGTACGCAGGCAGTTTATAAGGAGCGGGAGTGTAGCAGAAAATTATATTAGGAGAGATGCACACGCTCGGATGAGTACTGATTGAAAACGCACTGGGTTCTTTATCGCAACGCGACACGACGCGCGGCATTTTATTCCAACATGCTGGACGAACGCGCGTCTGGCAACGGCTTGGTGGCCTTCGCCATCGTGTACCTTACATTTTTCCTTGACAATGTTCTGCTTACAGTACTTGGTCAGTTATTTATTCTCCTCTGATCTGTATACAACTTGAAACAAAAACCCAGTGGTTCCCGTTGAGTGCGTCATCACAATCACTATTCAAACGTAGAGAAATAACTTTACTAAATAAATAATAAAAAATTCGACCATAAAATTAAATTAAATAAAAAAAATTGAAAATTTTTTGTGGGTTTATTACCTCTGCATTGGCCGGGGAGTAAGTATTGTCAAAGATCCCGCTTTACCGATGCGCGTGTTAGTTATAGGGTTTTTGTTACATGTTGTATGTAAATCAAAGTTATATTCTTGTTTCCTTTTAATAAAAACTCAATTATATTTTTGTAATTTGTAAATTTCAGTTCCTATAATTCCGGATTGGGTCCGCGGTGAGTCATTGGCGCTTTGGGCCACGCATGATGCACCGCTAGTGAAGTTACTGAACACTACAGTGCATCAAATTACCGACGCTGACGAAGATGAAGGTTTGTGTTTCTTACATTTAACTTTTATTGCTCTATGGAGGATATAAAATAGGATTTTAACAGTGGTAGAGCCAAGCGGTAGCTTTTGCTGTCGCACGGATGGGCCAGCTCGAACCGGGGTGGTACCACGACCTCACAGAATACCAGCGTGAAGTAGAGGTTTACCTCTGCGTTGCGTTTGGTGAGTGCAGGTGGCCGGAGGCCCAATTCCCCCCCCCCCATCAACATGGTAGTGGAATTAAATACAAGACTACCCCAGGAGGGTACCAGCAACCCTGGAGAATCCCTCGCTGAGCATCCACGAACAAACTACTTCACTCCTGAGCGTGGGTGCTCAGGCTGCCCCGCGTATTCTGGGGGGGGGCAAAATTCCGCTCGTGACTAATGCTGCTCGGGGCAAGCGGAGCAATACAACCAAGGCGACCCCTGTCACGCTATCCGTGAATTTTTGCAACATCAGGGGACTTCATTCCAACCTTAACGCTGTCCATTACCATCTAGAGACGGCGAAGCCGGCCTTGCTCTTTTTAACCGAGACTCAGGTGTCCTCTCCGGCTGATACTTCATATCTCTCCTACCCGGGGTACAAATTGGAACACTCCTTTGTGCCCCGGGCTGGAGTTTGTGTATACGTCAGAGAGGACATCTGTTTTCGACGCCTCGGCAGCCTTGAAGGTACGGACCTGTCCATCCTATGGCTGCGCGTAGACAGCGACGACCATCCCCGCGTCTACGGGTGCCTCTATAGGTCCCATAGCGGTAATGCCGACACAGACCGACTCATCGACCACGTCCAAATGGCTGCAGACTCCGTGCTACAACAGGTCCCATCCGCAGAGATCGTGATACTCGGTGATTTCAACGCCCACCACGCTGAATGGCTTGGTTCTCGTTCAACCGATCATGCGGGTAGATCTGTCTATGACTTTGCTTTGGCATATGGTCTAACACAACTGGTTACTTCGCCTACGCGGATCCCAGATGTGGAAGACCATGTACCTTCCCTGTTGGACCTTCTGCTGACCTCTCATCCGGACGGATATCAGGTCTCCGTCGATGCCCCTCTGGGCTCTTCGGACCATTGTCTGATCCGGAGCACAGTGCCACTTACGCTCCAATCGCAGTTGCGATCTACAGCTTGCCGCCGTGTTTGGCACTATAGGTCAGCTGATTGGGACGGGATGCGGTCTTTTTTTGCATCCTACCCTTGGGGGCGGGTTTGCTTCTCGCCGGAAGATCCCAGCGTTGTTGCCGATTCTGTTGCTGATGTGGTACTTCAGGGTATGGAACTTTTTATTCCATCCTCTGTGGTGCCTATCGGAGGCAGATCCCAGCCATGGTTTGGTCGCTCCTGTAAAATAGCATCACGCTATAAGCAGGAGTGCTACCGGGCCTGGGCTGACGCATCAACGTCTCGGGATTTAAACACCAGCGCACTTAAAAAGAAGTATAATTCCGCCTCCAGGTCCTTCAAAAGCGTCATTGCCAAGGCAAGGTCTGAGCACATCGGCAGAATTGGCGAGAAGCTAGTTCGCCTTCCTTCGGGAACCCGTGCATTCTGGTCTCTCGCCAAGGCTGTCCAAGGGAACTTCTGTCAGCCATCCCTCCCATCTCTGCACAGAGAGGACGACTCACTGGCCCATGCCGCAAAAGAGAAAGCCGATCTGTTGTGCTCTCTTTTTGCGTCCAACTCGACTCTAGATGACGGGGGGAACACACCGCCGACCATCCCGCGATGTGAGTGCTCCATGCCGGATGTGCGATTTACACAGCGCTCGGTTCGCAAAGCACTCTTCTCCCTGGACGTCAGCAAGTCGAGTGGGCCCGATGGAGTCCCTCCCATTGTGCTGAAGACGTGTGCTCCGGAGTTGGCACCGGTTTTAACGCGTCTTTTCCGGTACTCCTACTCCCAAGGCGTAGTCCCGAATTCATGGAAGACAGCTTTGGTCCACCCGATCCCTAAAAAAGGCGACCGCTCAGACCCGTCCAACTACAGGCCTATCGCCATCACCTCCTTGTTCTCCAAAATAATGGAATCCATTATAAACTGCCAGCTCATGAGGTACCTTGAGGATCACCAGCTGATCAGTGACCGTCAGTACGGTTTTCGTCGGGGTCGATCAGCAGGTGATCTTTTAGTTTACTTAACTCATAGATGGGCGGAGGCAGTAGAGTCCAAGGGGGAGGCATTGGCCGTTAGTTTGGACATAGCGAAGGCCTTCGATCGGGTCTGGCACAAGGCGCTTCTTTCGAAGCTTCCTTCCTATGGGCTTCCCGAGAAATTGTGCAAATGGATCACCAGTTTCCTTGCTGATCGGAGCATCAAGGTCGTAGTAGACGGTGCATGCTCTGATTACAAGCCTATCAACGCTGGTGTTCCACAAGGCTGCGTGCTATCACCAACGCTGTTTCTCCTGCATATCAATGATATGTTGCTAACTGGTAGCATTCATTGCTATGCAGACGACAGCACTGGGGATGCCTTATATACCGGCCGTGCCAATATTTCTCGGGAAAACGTCGCCGAGTACCGGGACAAACTTGTGTCTGAAGTCGAGTCTTTGCTTAACAAAGTCTCGGATTGGGGCCGACTAAATCTAGTCCAGTTCAATCCCCAGAAGACACAAGTTTGCGCGTTTACCGCTAAAAAGAACCCCTTTGTCGTATCTCCTCAGTTTCAAGGCACTCCCCTTGCTGCCTCAGCCAGTATCGGAATCCTTGGCGTCGACATATCGAATAGCGTGCAGTTTCGTGGTCACTTGGAAGGGAAGGCCAAATTGGCCTCTAAAAAGCTTGGCGTGCTCAGCAGAGCGAGACAGTATTTCATGCCGGCACATCGCTTGCAACTTTACAAAGCGCAAGTTCGGCCCCACATGGAATACTGTTCTCATCTCTGGGCCGGGGCACCCCAGTGCCAGCTCCTTCCACTTGACCGCATCCAGCGCAGAGCGATTCGAATCGTCGACGACCGAGTTCTTTCCGATCGGCTCGATACACTGGCACTGCGTAGAGATGTTGCATCTCTTTGCGTATTTTATCGCATCTATCACGGGGAGTGCTCTGAGGAATTGTTCGGACTAATTCCAGCCGCTCAATTTCACCATCGCACGTCGCGACAAAACTCGCGTTACCATCCATACCATCTGGATGATTGGCGGTCCACCACTGTGCGATTTAGAAGAAGTTTTCTCCCTCGCACAACTTCTTTGTGGAATCAATTACCACCAGCGAATTTTCCGAACCGATACGACTTAGGAACCTTCAAGAAAAGAGCTTACACCTTTCTAAAAGGCCGGCAACGCATCTGCAATTCCCCTGGTGTTGCGGTTGTTCATGGGCGGCGGTAGTCACTTAACATCAGGTGAGCCGCATGCTCGTTTGCCCCCTATTCTATAAAAATCAAAAAAAAAAAAATATAAGAAAATCCACCTCTACATTTAATTCAGTTGGTGATGTAAGAAACGATTATGGGCAATTTTTGGAAAATACAAAGGCTGAGATCCCTGACGGATTTAAGGTGGCAGAGCCAAGCTGCAGCTATATTACAGTTACAGCACGAATGGTTTGGCTTGACCGGGAAAAGACAAAACTTTTGTGAGAATACCAGCGTCAAATAGCCGCTCAATGCTGCTGTATTTCGTATGGTAGATGTAGAGAGTTTCCTTTAAATGAGGCATTCCATCTGGTCCTCAGGAGTGCCTTCGCATCTGCATTTTGTTTCTTAATCAAGGGTAGATGTAGATTCCTATGGGCCACAGAATCCACTTATCACCAGGTGGACTGTGAGCTCATTTGTCCTTTTATTCTACAAAAAAGTTTGATTTACAAGGTGTGGGCGGATCGCAAGCAGTGGTTGGTGCTGTACTGGGTGCGAAGGCAGCAGCACAATTGCTAATGGCACCAATGGCCGCCAATGCTGTTTCTCGTCGTGGCCCAGCCCCCGTGCTTCGAACAGGCACAGTTCTGCTGGCTGTAGCTGCAGCAGGTGACTTACAATAAGCAAACAATAACGTTGCAAACTATAAGCCCCAATCATCAGGAGCCATAGAAAATCCGCCATTTTGTAAACTTTGTCTTTGACCTATGTAGACTTATTGTATATTTCACTAAAATCATTTTCGATTGTTGTATGTAGAGTCGGGAAAAAAGTTTCTTCGTATTTTATATGGAAATTCAAGACATATTTTTTCAAAGTTTAATTACATTTAGTTATAATATTATTATAGGTGCCATTGTATCCGATAACTTGTTACCTTCTTGTAGGTAATGGACATAATCCCTTGCTGTAGAAATCTTGGGATTTTTGATAAAAATATGCGACGAACCGTTCCTGAAGTCATTTTCGGTTCTTAGATATACAAAATTACCCAGGTTGTTAATGCCTTTACATTTGGGAATCCGTATGCGCGTCTGACTTCACAACTTGTTCAGATTTTCAACCGACTTAAAAAAATGGAGGAGGATCTCAATTCGACTGTATTTTTTAAATATATTCTACCTCAGATTTTTTTCTATTTTGTTGATTCTTTTTTTATTTGAAAGCTAATTCTTCTCATGTGGTGCCAATAGGATTAAGATCAGACCAGTAATTTTTGAGTTATCCTTAATAATGCGTATTTAATTGACTTCGATTACATTGATGATGTTCTCATTTTAGTTATATCGGTTGTACTAAATGTTTAATTTTACTTGTCGAATAAAGTTATGTGAGTGTTGCGTGCGTGCCTTGCTGATCCCGTACTCTCTCGTTCATAGTGGTATTACTATTATTACAACCAAAATCAATAAATAATTTGAATATTGCTCAAATATTGCCCTTGCTAGATTCAACAAGTGTTGAAATTAAAAATCTTGTACAACCGACTTCCATATAAATAAAATGAGAACATCATCAATGTAGTCGAAGTCAATTAAATACGCATTATTAACGATAACTAAAAACTACTGGTCTGGTACAGACCTTGATCAAATTTATATTGAACCACATGAGAAGCACCAGATTTCAAATAAAAAACAGACTTATCGAAATCGGTTCACCTAGAATAAAGCTCTGCGGTAACACACATAAAAACAGTCGAATTGAGTACCTCTTCCTTTTATGAAGTCGATTAAAATAGGCAGATAGGAGCTAGCTTTGAGCGCCTCGTTAGTCTGGTGATTGTAACTGGTGAGCGTAAACGTAGTTGGTGATTACGGGTTCGAATCACAGGTCAGGCATAAATCAGCTAATGAAGTTTTCTGTCAAGATATTTTCAGCAGCAGCCCGGAGTCAGGAAGTTGGTGTATTTCACCCCCGTGCCTTGGAAAGCACGCTTAACCATTGGTGCTGCGCCTAAATCCCGGTCGTGTCAGATTACCGTCATATCGAACTATGAGAGTGAGTGCACCTGTGCTTGTGCTAATTCTGCCCTGCACAGATGGCTAGTCTCCGTTTACCGTTTCGGTATGGAGGACATTATTTAATATCCTTACGTTTTGTACGTGGTAGAGCCATGCTGCAACTATATTAGTAGTATAGTTGTAGCACGAATGGGTCGGCTCGACCGGGGCAGGACCACGCTCTCACAGAATACCAGCGTCAAATAGCAGCTTAACACTGCTGTGTTTCTAAATCGCACAGTGATGGACCGCCAATCATCCAGATGCTGTGGATGGTATCGGGAGTTCTGCCGCGATGTGCGTTCGTGGAATTTGGAGATTATTTTCTAAAGCATCATTAGTAATTAGAAAACATAGAAATAGGTTAAGTGATGAGTCAGCCAGATGGTTACTTTGTATTAATGCTTTGTCAAAAGACGTACTATAAAGTAACATTAATGTCAAAGCTGTTATGTACTGTGAAGTAATTTAATTTGTATCGTATTTTATTTTTTACTAGCTGTTCCTCGCGACTTCGCCCGCGTGTTATTTGGGGTTTTATTTTTTTGCCCGGAACCCTAATTCTTTTTCTAAAATAAAAGTAGCCTAAGGTACTTGTTGTGACATAAGCTACTCGCCAATGGAAATCCCGTCAAAATCGGTCCAGCCGTTTCGGAGATTAGCCGGAACAAACAGACAGACAGACAGACAGACAAAAACTTTAAAAATTGTATTTTTATTATTATTAGTACCGTATATACTTCCATATGCATTTAGTAAAAAGCTGTAATTTTGACATTACAAACAGACACTTCAATTTTATTTATTTGTATAGATATAGATTTAAATAAATGGTATATTGTATAAACTCTTTTATTCCATTCCATATATGGTTAGGGTCCATCAATTTATTTCTAGACAGATAATGTTCTTTAAAATACAGTGAAGTTATTGCCATTAATTTGTTTTTATATGTATGTTTAACCATGTTTTAGCACATGAAAGCTTATTAAATGTAAACGTTCATTAAGAAACTGACGCGCATGGCCGTGGGACACGGTAGATAGCTCAGTTGGTTAGAGCATCGGCACGGATCGCTTAGGTCGTGGGTTCAAACCCCACCCGGTGTCAGTCGATTTTTTGAATATCTCATTAAATGTTTAGACATTTATTAATTTAGTTGGTCTTTACTATGGCTATGTTAATTCAAGCTCAAAATGTACCTACTCTGTTAAGTTGTTCTAAGATCTAAAGTAACGTTTAATAAATAGTAATAGGCTAATAGGTAATTGCGAGACTTGCGAGACTCTTGCTGCAAGACCAAGACCAAGACCAAGACCGGGAGCGCAAGACCAAGACCAGGTGTATTGGCGCAAGACCAAGACCAAGACTTGCTAAGTCTCGTCTTGTTCTTGCATTTGCGCAAAACTACACACAGTCCACCTGATAAGTAATTTGTTGCTGTGGCCCATAGCCATCTACATTTATCCTCGATCAAAAATCAAAATGCAGATGCCTTGTCATCCCTGACGGCTAAGATTGAATGCCTCGTTTCCAGTAAAATTGATCTCCGGTTCTATACTCTTACCATGTGTACCAAATAGCAGCGTTATGCCGCTATTTTACACTGGTATTCTGTGAGAGCGTGGTCCTATCCTGGTCGAACCGACCCATTCTTGCTACATCTATGATATAACTGCAACGTGACTGTACCACGTAATGCTAAAAATCAATAAATTTAAAAAATGTTATCAGTATTTGCGTGGTGTGCGCGAAGCAGTACTGGCGTCTTGGGGGCTGGCCTGGGTCGGATCATACACGGCACAGGGTCAGCGTTGGCTGGTGTAGCTGGGCTTGCGCTTGCTGCAGCTCTACCTCCTCCGCGCCGTGACCGTGCCGTGGCTGTGCTGCTTGGGGCTGTTGCACTAGGTAAGTACTTATCCAGAGCCACAGATCAGATTCGCTGCTGGGGTAAGGAAAGCTGGTGATTTCGAGTTCTCGTTTTTTCCTGGCACTATAGCCCCACTTATCGGGCTCGGGAGCGTCCGTTGCGTAGAGGGGGTTAGAGGCCTCGATAGAAGGCGCGCCTTGTGTTTCTGGTGTACCTTACCTGAGAAGGAAAAGAAGAAGGGGAAGTCCTCTCTCGAGGAGCGTCTGCCATGAAACGGCCGGCGCTGGTAGGGCCGCGGATGTGTGCGGAAGCGTTCCCGTGACCCTGCCAATATGCGGCGAAGATGCAACACGATGGGGTTTTAGTCGATACGAGTCCGACAGTTTTTTGGTCGTTATTAAAGGGATTTTAGTGTTCACAATTATAGGTAAACTAGCTGAGCCCCGCGGTTTCATCCGCGTATATCACGCGTCTGTGCCGCGCGACATGACATGACACCTCGCTCATTTATTTCAATCATTTTAGCTAAAAAATTTGCAATATTGCGACGCGTATTCTCTCTGACTTGCAAGACGATTTTCAGTTTTTGATGAAAATTCTCCATTACGACGTATTTTTAATGCCCTCGCTTGGGAACTATTTCTGGAAAGTTGAGATCTTGATCTTTTGGGCATTTTTCATTATTTAATCATCAGCAGGTAAAAACAAAATGATAAAAAAAATTAAAAGTGCCCTTGTACTAAATTATTTGCTCAACTGTTAAACAGGAATTACCTATATAAAAATGTAACTGAAAAATTATAAGAACTACTAAGTTACTAAGCTGTTTGGATAGTTAAATGTACAATATTTATTTATCAGTTAGTACCTACTGAGTATAACATATAAAATGGGTTTAGTTCCGAAAATAACTTTTGTTTGTTGTTGTTTTAAATAAAAGCGAATTCAAAATATAAAAATTATTGGATTCCGCACACAACCGCTTCGTAGGGGGCCGACTGCGCAAGTGGGCCGCGCGGTAATTTATATTTTGGCATGGACTTCCCCTTCCGCATCCCAGTGACAACTCACACGCGCATCGGTAACTACTTTTACTCCCCAGTGAATGCATAGGTACAGGTGCACAGGTAACAACGTTTATATGATTTTTCAACCGACTTCAAAAACAGGAGGAGGTTCTCAGTTCGGCTGTATTTTATTTTATTTATTTTTTATTTTATTGTTATTTGCTTGGAAAACTTACAGCTAATTTACAATAATAATATAATTATAACAAAAATGAAGGCCATTTACAAGTTTTCTCTTATTTAATACTTTATATCACAAGTGTCAGAAAAAATATACGAGTTTAGGGCAAGTAACAGTACACTTAACTATAAATTACATTATCAAAAAAAAAAGAAGTTGTTAGAAAGTGAACGCCTAAGTTGCATATCTACGTTATGAGTGTGTGCTGTAGCATTAAAAGATATGCATGATCGAATAATAAAAGAGTTTTTCCTGTAATTATTTTTCACGTATGGTACGAAACACTGCAGGGTTAAGCTGCTATTTTACGTTGGTATTCTGTGAGAGCGTGGTCCTTCTCCGGTCGAGCCAACCCGTTCGTGCTACAACTACACCTACTACTAATATAGCTGCAACATGGCTCTACCACATAAAAAACTTTATTGTACATGAGGTAATGTAAAATAAGTAAGCACATCATTAACCTAAAAATTTAAAAAATTCGGTTGGATTTCGACCACCAGGCGACCAGTACTTCTTATTATATATTATGATTATCTTCTTTACAGGAGTTTTAGTTGGATACCCGTTTGGTGGCTCGGCGTACTCTCTTTGGAGCTCTGCAGCGCCTTTTCAACTCGTTTGCGTGGCTCTAATTGTGAACCTTGGTATGGATAAATGATACAAATTAAATACTCATAACTTTCTTTTGATTTGCATTTAATAACACTCCTATTTATTCCAGGGTTACAATATTTCTTCTTACGCGAAGACAGTTATCAAGTAAGTAAAATTATTTACTAACGCAAAATTAAAACTGGAATCTTTTCGAAGTGGAAACTTCTTTAGAATATACAATATTTTATTATATACAATATTAAAAACTATAATAATAATAAAAAAAACTAAAACTAGGAACTTAATTATCATATAAGAACGCTGGCTGAGTTTCCCCGCTGAATGGCTATACTTAGCCTTTGAGCGAGAAAAGAACCAGCCCTCTTATCACCAGCAGCAACGACCAGCCGCGGATGGAGTTCCTTTAGGAACTTCACCGCACGTGGACTCCACGGACCGATAGTTAGAATCGTTGTGATTTGAAACTCGATAAACGAAAAAGTGACACATGAGATAAACATAATACAGATAGATAACAGTGTAGTAAGCGACAGTAGCCTAATGGCAGGGTGCGGACCGCTAACTCAAAAAAGGTTGTGAGTTCGAATCCGCCATTCGACTACCGTCGTAAACCACTACTAACACAAGCATTTTCAGCTTACCAGTAGAATATTAGTAATTTTAATAGTATTGCTAGTTTTTAAAAAAGAAGACTACAGTTTTTTCTATTATCTCGGTTCCGTTTGTGCGGTGCTTTAAAGGTGATTAGCATAACATTTTAAATATATAAAATTAACCATACTGTATAGAATAGAATATTTTTTTATTCATCATAGCTCACATATGTAATTCTTATTGAGTAATTTTTTACTTTAGCACTGGTTCGAAAAAAACCTCTATCCTGGGAAGAACCAGCAAGAAACCCAGCGGGACTTTTTTTTAAAGCAAATACATTAATGGTTGTACAAACTACAAAATTTATTTTAGAAACAGCTTGGAAGCGACCACCTCCTTCCCAGGGGTTATTATCAACCATGTATTCATTTATACTATAATAACCCCTTTTATACAATTTCAACTTAACAAAACATTTAAACTTGGTAATAGAGATAATTTGAAATTATAACACAACAATAGAGGTGATTAAAAATTATAACATCCAATCCAGTCTTAAAAATTCACGATTTTATAGCTTACGGATTTCTAACTAGCTGTTCCCCGCGACTTCGTCCGCGTGGAAATATTTATGCATGGAACCCTAAAATAAGAGTAACCTAAGCTACTCCTTATCACATCAGTTATCTGCCAGTGAAAGTCCCATCCAAATCGGTTCACAGGTTTTTGCGTGATGCGTGTTCACGCTAAAATAACTAGCATATGACAGTTTTTTTTTTCAGACTAGCATATAACATTTATCGTTATATTTTGGCCAATTTACACAATATTTTATGAAGTGCTTATGTGTTATTCTGAGCTATATTATTGTAAAGTTCCATTAAAATCCATTCTGTAGTTTTTGCGTGAAAGAGTAACAAACATTCATACATCCTCACAAACTCTCACATTTATAAGTAGGATAGTAGAGTTATATGTACTACGTACTAGAGAAGCCTTTCTAAACAAAAAATGTGTACTTTTTTTTATAGGATAAGGGTGACAAACGAGCACACAGTCCACCTGACGGTAAGTGGTTGCTGTGGCCCATAGACATCTACATTTATCTTCGATTAAGAATCAAAATGCATATGCGTTGTCACCCGTGAGGACTAAGATAGAATGCCTCGTTTCCAGTACAAAGGGTCTCCGGTTCTCTACACTCACATGGGAAACACAGCAGCGTTAAGCTGCTATTTTACGCTGGTATTCTGTGAAACCATGGTCCTTCCACGGTCGAGCCGACCCATTCGTGCTACAACCATAATATAGCTGCAGCATGGCTCTACCACGTACTACCCTATGTCTTCGCGCAGTTAGCGCTTCAGTTTATATAAAGAAAAATAATTGGTAAATCCAATTGGGCATGTCTTAAGCGCATTAAAAATTACGTATAACATGTTTATACGGAATTTTTTAAAGTAGTTTAAATACATTTCGACAACACTATCGGCTTCAACACCCTCGAAAACCATGAAAATGTCACCCATGATGAAAAAATCGGTACTTACTTCAGCCGCCATCTTGGATTTACATTTCGACAGCACTATCGGCTTCAACACCCTCGAAACTCATGAAAATGACACCCATGATGAAAAAATTGATACCTATTGCAGCCGCCACCTTGGATTTACATTTCAACAGCACTATAGGCTTCAACACCCTCGAAACCCATGAGAATGACACCCATGATGAAAAAATTGATATCTATTGCAGCCGCCATCTTGGATTTACATTTCGACAGCACTATCGGCTTCAACACACCCGAAAACCATGAAAATGACACCCATGATGAAAAATTGGTACCTACTTCAGCCGCCATCTTGGATTTACATTTCGACAGCACTATCGGCTACAACACCCTCGAAACTCATGAAAATGACACCCATGATGAAAAAATTTATACCTATTGCAGCCGCCACCTTGGATTTACATTTCGACAGCACTATCGGCTTCAGCACCCTAGAAAATCATGAAAATGACACCCATGATGAAAAAATTTATACCTATTGCAGCCGCCACCTTGGATTTACATTTCGACAACCCTATCGGTTTCAACACCCTCGAAAACCATGAAAATGTCACCCATGACAAAAAAATTGATACTACTTTCTTTTAGTACGTACTACTATTATTTATTCTGTGCTTTTAAAATACGAGTATTGTAATAAAAGATCTCTTATTATTATTATAGTCAAGTATTTAAGAAATTTAGTTATTCAAATATTGTGTATTTGTACAGCGATCTTCAAACAACCGAAACAATGTCCACTCACGACGGCGACTGACGCCGAACTGAGTGAGTGATTAAAGTACTCTGTGGCTGTAGCTCCCTATTTACAGAAATAATTTACATACAAGGCTACCAAATCAACGAAAATTTCGTCATTTTGGAGCCGTAAAATAATGAATTATAGCTAAACAAAACAAAATTACACTGCAATTTACATTCAGTGGCTTCCCACATGATAGATGAAGAGATTAAAAAATAGATTGCGTTAAACAAAAATTATCGTGTTTACAAGCCTTGGGGACATGATAAATCCATACCATAAGCCACTAAAACCCCTTTTTTATTTAAAAATAGCAATTAATCGATTTTAAAAAAAAATATTAATAAGTTCAACAATCATTTATCTTTCTAACAATGTGCTTTTTATATCATTTATATGTATAATATGATTGCTAGATACAATTTAATTCGATAAAACGTTGGAATCTTAATTTTTAGGCGATAGTAGAACATACCTTGCGCTTTCGCTTAAGGCATGCAATCTATTTTTTTCATGATTTTTTTTCTCTTGTAATATTACGATATTATTACCTATTTATTCACTTTAACAACAAATAATTTTACTTACTTGACCACTGAATTGTTATTTACGTCCGGTTTTAAACTTTAATTTGAAATACCTTGTATTATTAGCAGCGCTTCACACTGCATGTATATTGAAACCATAGACTAACTAGTAGATTGAAACCACACTAAATGACACACTGGACGGATTGCAGTACATTGGCAGTACAGTTCAGTTGAACATAGTGTATCTTCGGAATACGCAATCTAGTACGTAGTACATATATATATATATATATATATATATATATATATATATATATATCGATGGTAAGATAGGATTATTCGTGTTTAGGCCATCTAGCGTCTATTTTACGTACAACCTTGACAGTCAATCAATTTTTGTCTGATAAAATGACTTATCTATAGAATTAAATAGATGGCGCTATTACAGAGCAATTTTACTCGCAATTTTCTGAAGGTTTCCCTTCTAACAGGTGTGAACTGCACACCTGTTTTTTTTTTACATAGCCAATAAATGTTTTACTTGAATAAAAGTAAAGCTGAAAAAGATTTTTGGGGCGGCATTTTGGAAAAAAAAGTCAGCTCGCGACTTAACTTTTAATGATGCTAGTAAAAATGTCGAAAAAAATTGAAAATTTGTTATTAATTTTATTAAAATATACGAAAACTGTAGCATTGAAAGATCTGAAAATAGGGATAAAGTGCACACACTCACACAGACACATGTCTAAAGTAGGGACGAGTGTAAAAAATAGATTACTTACCTATATTTTTCTATTTATTTTTAGATAATATAAAAAACTGGAAGATTAATATTTTAAAGATACTAAAAATACATATAATATAATATAAAATGTTAGCAAATGGGGGAAGGGGTTAAGGGGCGGTATTTTTGTCTCTGCGAGCCTCAGGCCATAGTAACGCACTGCATCGTCTCCCTCGAGGTCACTTTACTGGCTATAGAGACTCCCACCCTCAATATAAATGACCAACTGGAGAGAATGTTTTTACTGGAAACGAAGCATTTCATCTTAGTTCTCAGGGGTGACAACGCATCTGCATTTTAATTCCTAATCTAGGATAAGTGTGGATGTCTATGGCGACAGTATCCACTTACCATCATTTGAACTGTGTGCTCGTTTGTCACCCTGTTTCTATAAAAAAAAAATCCCTTGCGACCCCGTCTGAGTAGTGGCGGAGTTACAATGCTATATTTATAATTTTAGATTCAATTAAATCAAGATAACAATAATGACAATTTAAACTACGCGAAACCGGAATCAATATGGCGGGTGGCTCGTCGCGGCGCTGCGGCAGAATGCGCGGGAGCCGTGCTATTCACCACCAGCATTATGGCAGCCTTGGAACCATGCCTACCATTGTGGATGCTAAAGAAATTCCACCCGAAGCGATGGCAAACAGGAGCCGCCTTTTTACCAGGTAAGTTATTCATAAGGTTCCCACTAACCATTCCACCAGTGCGACTTCTGATCATGTGGGCCTGGATTCGAATCCTGGGTCGGACAGAAATAGAGTTTTCCTGTCAAGAAATGCTTAGTAGCAGCACTGAGTCAGTGAGTTTGTTGGTGTTTCACCACTGTGCCTCGGGAAGTACGTAAAGCCGTTGGTCCTGCACCTGATCTCCCTCCGGTCCCATCAGACTATGAGAGTGAAGGAATAGAGAGTGACACATGAGTGACGATGACATCTACATTTATCCTCAATAAAGAATCAAAATTCAGATGCGTCGTCACCCGTGAGGACTAAGATGGAATGCCTCTTTTCCAGTAAAATGGGTCTCCGTTTCTCTACACTCACCATACGAAACACAGCAGTGTTAAGCTGCTATTTTACGCTGGTATTCTGTGAGAGCGTGGTCCTTCCCCGGTTGAGCCGACCCATTCGTGCTACTAACTATACTATTAATATACCTAACTGCAGCATTTCTCTACCACGTAAAGAATTGGTTGCGCACGCATCTCCATTTTGATTACTAACCGCGGATAAAAGTAGATGTCTATCAGTCACTGTATCTACTTACTATCAGTTGGGCTGTGTGGTCCAGGGTCACCACTATTTATATAAAAAAATTCTCCATACTATTTGTTTTTTTTTTCAGTATATTTATATTATTTTTCGTATTTCTTTCAGACAGTCTGGGATACTTGATAGCTACAAGTTCATTGGGTGGGGTTACGAAGTGTGTCGGTGTTGAGAGAGTGGCGTTGGTGGGTCAGGTCTCCGTTGGGTTGGCGGCTTTAGCTGTCCCTTACGCCAGATCAGTAAGTGGTTTATTTCTTGTCATTTTTAACGTGGTAGAGCCACGATGCAGCTAGATTATAGTTGTAGCACGAATGGGTAAAACCACGATCTCACAGAATACCTGCGTAAAATAGCAGCTTAATGCTGTTGTGTTTCATATGGAGAGTAGAGAACCGGAGATCCTTTTTTACTGGAAACGAGGCTTTCCATCTTATTTCTCAAGGGTGACAACGCATCTAGATAGGAACTACCCTCACATATAATTTTTATCCTGCAAAATATACAAAGTGCTATTTTACTCATCAAACACCTGTCCGTATTTATATTCTTTGTTCATACTTCATAGGTAGGCTTCAAAGTGCGAGATGGTCGCTCCTCAATCAAATTACTGCCTCTAAATTTTAATCTTGGGCCATTTATCAGAAAAATTAATATATCAAGGAGGTTATCATATAATATATTTACAATCTCCTTGGAATATATATACTATTTGACAGCCGTGTATCTTAGTAGACAGAGAATCACTTATGTCACACCTTTATGTCAGAACATAAATAATAAATATGTAGCATTCGTATCAGCGGTGCGATTGTATAACTTTGATAGAAACCTTTTGGTTTAGCCGTATTTTATACATATCACAGTAATAAAGATGTTAAAAAATTAATTTTAGCTAAGAACTGTGTAATAAAATAAAATTGTCTCACCTAGTTTATTTTTTTATAGAATATAATATAAGGACTAACGAGAATGAGTGATGTGACTTCTTTTTTTATAGGATAAGGGTGATAAACGAGCACACAGTCCACCTGATGGTAAGTGGATACTGTGGCCCGTAGACATCTACATTTATCATCAAAATGCAGCTGCGTTGTTACCCCAGAGGACTGAGATGGAATGCCTCGTTTCCAGCAAAAATGGTCTCCGGTTCTGTACACTCACCATACGAAACACAGCAGAATTAAGCTGATATTTTACGCTGGTATTGTGTGAGAGCGTGGTCCCACCCCGAACGAGCCGACCCATTCCTCCTGCAACCACAATATAGCTGCAGCATGGCTCTACCACGTAAAATAGTTTGAAGAGCACCTCCCACTCTATCTATACTCTGTGTTAATATTCCCGTCACCACTAATTTCAACACCATTACTCCCAACACCACTACAGAAACAGAAACTTTTTTATTCAATATTAATTGTAAATAATACTTATTGAAAGTAACTCTTTTGTTTAATTTACCACTGGTTCGGAAAAAACCTCTTTCCTTGGAAGAACCAGCAAGATACACAAGGGGACATTTTTTTTTGTAAAAATCTCTTTATTTTAATCGATAAAATTTTCTCGATTGCTGGGGAAACAGTTAATACATACGATACAAATCTCAATTTTTTATTTCATTGTACAGGCTTTGTTGGCACCTCAAAGTGAGTCGTTAAGATAGAAGGTTATCTGTCCAGCGGGACGTTTTTGAAAAAACACAGCTTACTATCCATAATGTTACACAATTAAAAACATTAGATACTAGCTGTTCCCCGCGACTTCGCCCGCGTGTTGTTTGGGGTTTCAATTTTTTTTGTGCGGAACCCTAATTCTTTTTCTAAATTAAAAATAGCCTAAGTTACTCCTTGTAACATCAGCTATCTGCCAGTGAAAATGCCGTCAAAATCGGTCCAGCTGTTTCGGAGATTAGCCGGAACCAACAGACAGACAGACAGACAAAAACTTAAAAAATTGTATTTTTGTTATTAGTACCGTATATACTTTCATATGTATTTAGTAAAAAGCTGTAATTTTGACATTACAAACAGACACTTCAATTTTATTTATTTGTATAGATTAATTAGAAATTACGCTACGAAAGACATACTACCATCGATAATACGGCAAGTGTTTCGCCTCTAAACAAGGCATCATCCGGTGAAATAGATCTTTATTAAATAATTTAAACAACAATATTCTATTATTAATTTTAGAGCAATGACATACATAGTATTTTTATTATACACACAGAGTTTAGATACACAGTTTAGATCTCAACTCTTTTTCGCAAAGCCGACTATCCGGAACGATGTTTGTACCAAATGGGGGTACATATAAAAATTTTTTGGTGGGATATCATTTAATATTTGAAAAAACTTTTAAAAATGTTAATAAATACATGACTTTCAACTTTTTTTTTGCATCAAATACTCAAATGCTCCTTAATTTTAAGATACCGTTAAGTGTCGTGCTGTCTCTATCACTTTAAATCAAAGTGACTGTGACACCACAAGATTTGACTACATCTTAAAATTGAGTAACGTTTGAGTTTTTGGCCACATAAGAATTAAATGTCGACTAAGTTATTAGTGCGGTTAGTTTTAAGTTCTAGAAAGTAATGTCACGATATGAGCAGTAGAGTTGTGAAGAGCTGCAGTGGTGCGTGGTGTGCAGGCGTGGGGGCTGGCGCTGCCGCAGCTGTGGCTGGGCGCGGGGCTGGGCGCCACGGACGCGGCGCTGGCGCCCGCGCTGCTGGCGCGCCGGCCGCGCCGCCTGCCGCAGCTCGCCGCGCTGCTGCAGGCCGCCGCCAGCGCTGCCTACGCTGTAGGTCAGTGCTCCATACTGCTCCCCACCATCGCACCGCACCGGCGATGCTACTCACAACAACCACGCTACAACTTTTCAATAATCATTACGTGGTGAAGCCACACTGCAGCTAAGTACGAGACGTCCGGTAGTAGGTACTGCAATCGCCAATCCAAGCGCCAAGCCAAGCCAAGCGTGGCTATTAAGGCAAAATCTTAGCGGCCAGCCATCGCAGAGTCTACTTCACCTGAGGATGACTCATTTAAAGGCCAAACACGTGTCGTATTATCGGCGGTGGTGATTCTTTCACGAAGTAAGACACAACATTTTATCTTATTACGCGGATCTATGCTATTTGATTTTTAACATCTTTAACAAAACCATTGAGTTATGTGTACTACGTACTAGAAAAGCTATTCCAAACAAAAATTGTGCGCTACTCTATGTCTTCGCGCATGCGCGGGAGATAGTAGAGTCACGCATGCGCGAAGACTTTAATTTAATATAAAATAAGATATTAATATAAAATAAATATAAGTATTTAATATAAAACATCTTATTTTAATCTAAACAAACATATTTCTAAATAAAATGTAATAAATCTAATATCTTATGGAATTATTTAGTTTAGTGTACGAATTGCAGTACAGTTCAGTTGAACATAGTCAATGTTCGGAATGCGAAATCTAGTGCGTAGTACATATACGTATATCGATGAACAAAGCAAATCCTCCTACACGAGATAGGAACATGTTTAATAGTGGACTTTTCCAGGCTGGTGATAAAAATCTTTATTTAATATGAAGATAAATAAATATAAACAGATCTACGTCAATGAGAGCATCCACGACTTTTTCCGCCACCTGGAATCTACCACCAAGGCAGCGCCACGTATAATGCGAAATATTGGACAGATTTCATAGCGGGGGAAGTTAATTTGTTAATCGATATAAAATATTAGTTATATTTTGTGGGAATTATATGAAAAATGGATAGACCAAACTACGGACATTCTTTCAAATAGAAGAATTAAAAATAAAATTAAAAATGTGTAAAAATTAAAGAACACAACACTGGGGCATTGTTTTGTGTATATTCATACACTAGAAACCGAAAAACTTATTTTATCGCAACTTTTCAACGATGATGACACTGTGTGACCATCTGCGAAACAAATAGTTCCAACTAGCGGCATCTGGTGAGCGTAAGAATATTAGTCCTTTTCGGTCGACTTCAAAAAGGAGACGGTACTCAATTCGACTGTATGTTTTTTTTATGTGCGTTACCTCATAACTTTTTACTGGATGAACCAATTTCGATGATTCATTTTTATTTGAAAGCTGGTACTTCACATGTGGTCCCATATGAATTTGATCAAGGTCGGCCTATAGTTTTTGAGTTATTCTTAATAATTTATATTGAAGTCGGCTGTCAAAAATTATTAATTTTAAATTATTATGTGCACAGTTTATTGCGATATTTGTACAATTAGAAACGTGCAAACATTTGGTGTTGTTTGTCAGAACTGTATGTAGAACTGTATATACTCGAGGATTATGCATCATTGATTAAATATTTAACAATGTTGAGTATTTAACTAAATATATTTGTGTGATGCTAATATAAATATTCTGCAGCCGTGATTTGATAAGTAATTATGTTCTCAGAATGCGACTGTAAACTGTATTAGAATGACCTCTAATACAGTTTACAAGGTTTCAGGGCTTTATCTATGTCTAGAATTCGTTGCCGTAACATTACTTTAGTTTACAAACTATTTTTGTTTAAAATAATTTCTTAACATAGATAATTGTCGAAATATTGTAAAATGAAGAACCGACGAATGAGTATTCTTTTATTTTGAGAATATTACATATTATTATTATTTTGTAATTATTACCTACTCGTACTTCTTGAGATTTATCACGCGACGTTTATTTTCATTCTTCTACAATTTACTAAACATAATTTACAATTTGCAAAATTATTTTTATATTTTAGATTTCTCCATAATTCTAAAAAAAAATAAATATAAATATTAGGCCGCATAGTGACGCTGTAAGAATATCCAGTCTCATAATAGTCCTGTGGGTGTCGTAAGAGGCGACACAGGGAACGGAAACAGGATATAGACGTAACGTAATAATAATAAATGACTATTATTTTGTACCGCCAAGTAGCAGTGAGTGCACTGCATATTTAAAGTCTGAACGGTATAGAGCCAATAATTATAGGCATTACATCTTAGTCCTCAGACATGACAATGCATCTGTAGCCTTTTTGAAGCTATACTTCTTTTGGGGCGTTTGGTAAAAAACAATAATGTACTCGATGAAAACAACAAAAACGACACGATGTAGTTAAGATGCGCGCGCACAATGACACCTCAAAGCGACAACTTCAGTAGGTAATTGTCTCTCGACTTTTCATGGGAACTAATAAAGGTTAAGGTAGCTATTTTTATTTTTGTTTTGTTACGCTAAAAAATATAACTTCCTACGTGCGTATATAAATACACACATATGTTTTTTTACTTGAAATGAGGGCTAATAATTTTCTGCTCACCAGATGTCGCTAGTTGACATTGACGTAAAGTTTTTGTTAGACAATGTAATTTAATTGAGAAGTTGTTTTTTTAAACCTTTACCGCATGGAATTTTTAAATCAACTTAAAAAAAAATATTTAGTTCTATACCTTATACCTGTTGATATAAAAATATTTAAAAAAAAATCGAGGTATTATTCATTACAAAAAAAATATCCAAAGTTTTGGTTCCAAATTTGGAACGATATGCATTCAAGCTTATAATTGTACGTGTTCCATATTTGGAACATCATGCAGTGTGTTCTACTTTTGGATAAGCATGTTTTTTTTAAGGTCTTAATTTCAAATTTATGTCTAAATAAAAACATATTTTAAGAAATTAAATACTTATGTGACGTCGTATCAATATAATTGCAAATTTATTTTATTAGAAAAATGTCAAAAATATGATTACTAAAAATTGTGAAGTTTTTATATAGGTATTATTATACATATAGATTTTATAATTAAATTATTTATATTTAATCAATTTTTTAAATTAAGTTACTTCAATTAATTAAAACTACATAAAAATATATTTACTTAATATTTTTATTTTCATACATTTAAGAAATTAGTTTATTAAAAATAATACAAAAAAACCTATGCGAAAGCAAACATTTATGAATTTTAATTTATTTATTCAATCATGCGACATGTGAAATTTTTTAAAACAGTTGCGGTCCTTATTCAAGCATAAATAACATTTGCACTTAGTACACATTACTTGGGTTTTTTGACCACAGCCGACCATCTTACACCTTTGTCGGTCAGTATTCCACTCCGGCCAGTGATTAAAGCCATCTTTTTTTTTTTCAATTTATTAAACTTCGGACCACAAACAAGTTCACAATTATCAAGTTATCTAATGTAATTACTACACATTTTTTATTATTATGAACTCAGCAACGCTGGTCACTAACTTAAGTATTACAATTTTTAAAGATAGATGAAGCTTGTTACATAGTATACATTGACAATGTTTTGTTATTTTTAAATAAGAAACTTATTATCGACTAACAAGTATTGTAGGGTTATTGTAGGATATATTACACCACTGCTCATTAGTTTTTTTTTCTAAATAGACGTGTCCTATATTCCACTATCTATTCAATGACTACTTGTTTAAGTTTTTCAGTGACAATCTTCTTATAATTATCACGTCCTGTGACATTGATATCGATAGCATTGAAATTCTCATTGTACGAGTGCATCATACGTAATAAAGAGGACCTTCGTCCCGCGTTTGTCCGACATAAATTGGTTGAAAAAAGTTTATGAGAATGGGCCACGCGCTGATGTGCTCTGGTAGGTACCCTATAATTTATATTCTCAATTATTTCCATACAGTCGTATCTATTATGACACAGATCATAAAACAACATTGCTTCAAGAATTATACGCCTTGATTTAAGAGTAGTGAGGTTATACTCTGCCATGAGTTCATTATACGGTTTTTTTTTTCTGGCATATTTATAATGGATACATCTAAGAAATTTTTTCTGCACAAGTTCTAGTTTATCAATATATTTTTTATATAGAGGATTCCAAATAGCCACTGCATACTCCAAATGACATCGTATTAAGGATCTATAAAGGTGTAAGTAAGTCAAGGGATTTTTAAACATAATACCAGATCGGATAACGAAACCATACATCTTATAAGCTTTGTTAATAATATTTTCAATATGTATGTCTAGATGTAATTTAGTGTCTAAAGTTACTCCAAGATCCCTGATTGCCACTTCTTGAGATAGGGGGGTACCACATAAATAATAAATGCAGGAGCTGGTTTTTTTCTTTTTTGTAAAAGTTATAGATTTACATTTATTAAGATTGAGTTCTAACTTATTTTTGTTACAGTACGATGTGAAACGGTTTAAATCATCCTGTAATTCTAAGTGGTCATTAGTGTTTTTGATAATTTTGTATACCTTCAAATCATCAGCATATAAAAGGAACCTACTTGAACGGAAGCACTCATTAATGTCGTTTATAAATATTATAAATAGAAAAGGACCAATAATAGATCCTTGTGGCACGCCTGAAGTAATCGGTACACATTCAGATTCGTGACCCCTAATAACCACTTTTTGCATTCTGTTTGAGATGTAAGACTTAAACCACCGCCATAGATTACCTCTTATTCCATTATAGGCAATTTTTTCTAGTAGCATCTTGTGGTCCACCCGGTCAAATGCCTTGCGAAAATCTGTATAGACACAGTCAACTTGCTTACGTGCATCAAGAGCTTCAAATAGAAAGGTCGAGTAAATAATTAAATTAGTCACAGTGGATCGATTCTTAACAAAACCATGCTGTTGTGGCAATATAATGTTACGTAAAAGCGGATAAACGGCGTTATGCACTAATCGTTCAAAAATCTTCGCTAACGTAGGTAGTATTGAGATGGGTCTATAATTTTCAACTAATTTCTTAGACCCTCCTTTGTGTACGGGCACTATTCTAGCAGTTTTCCAGATTTTGGGAAAAATTCCACATCGCAAACATTTATTATACAAGAGATATACCGGTTCATCAATAACCTCCGCAGCAGCTTTTAGAAACAGAGCATGGACATTGTCCACCCCGGCGCCCTTTGTTACATCTAACATCTTTAACTGGTTAGTGACTTCAAGTTTTGTGAGTTTGATATCGTTTATAAGGATATCAGGCGTTTTAGTATCGTCAACAATGATATCTTGAATATCAAAGTCCTCAGTAACTATAGTTGGCTCAAAAACCGAGTGAAAAAAGCTAGAGAATATTGAGCATACTTCGTTAGGACCTGTAGCCACCCTATCCTTAAAGTTTACAGTACTCGGTATATCAGAGATTTTTTTACGGTTTTTCAAATAAGTCCAAAAAAATTTACTGTTATCCCTAATACTGCTTTCTACTTTACTAATATAGTTATTATAGCAACGCTCTGAAACTTTTTTGAATTTATTCCTGTATATGGAAAAGATGCTGTAATTTGATTCACTTCGATATTTTTTCATTTTTATCCAAGCCCGGTTTTTTTTATTGTATATCTGAATTAATTCAGGCGTAAACCAACAAGGGAAATGATTAGATTTGACTTCTTTAAATGGCACATGTTTTTTAATAATTTTGTAAATTGTCTCATAAAAGCACGACACGGCATCTTCAGCACCTTTGTCCAAAAAAAGGTTTTCCCAATCGATGTTCATAATTTCATCTTTTATTTTATCATAGTTAGCCATTTTATAACATTGTCGAAATGTTGTATTACGTTCTAGGTATTTTTGTGATTCTAATAAAGTAATGAAAACTTCAAAAGGAGGATGAAGAGCATCGGGAGGTATCAACGGTGACGTCATTGATGATAGGCTGCACTTGGTTGTATTTGTTATGGCTAAGTCTAGGATTCTGTTATTTTTATTAAGAATATGGTTCATCTGATGACCGTTTATGAGTGATATAAAATTAATTAGGCTCCAGCATGAGGAATTTAAGTTCGAATCTATTATAGGTTCAAGGCCCTGGCCAGTATTATTCCAGCCAAGATTCGGCAGATTAAAGTCACCAATTATAAAAAGACTTGCGGTCGACCCAGATAATTGATATTGTAATAAATTTAAAAAACTATTATATGTATCAAAATTTTGATTAGGTGGGATATAAACGGCTGCGAGAATAAAAACCTGATTTGCAGTGCGTATATCTAGTAATAAATAATCAACAAGAGGCGGGAGGGGCTCAAAGTCATGCGCCAGCATTTCGTGCATTTCGAGACGAGCTACAGCACAAAGCGATCGGTGCACTGCTATCAGTATGCCTCCGCCGTCTCGCCGGCCGGTCGCTGCACGATTTCTGTCCTTTCTAAAAACATGATACCTATCGTCTATAAATTCATTATCGCTGATATCCGCGTGTAACCAGGTTTCCGTTAATACGATTATGTCGTATGTATGAGAGATAATATTCATATAAAGAGTATGCAGTTTGGTTCGTAATCCTCGACAATTTTGGTAATATACAGTTAACATATTAGAATTGAATTTTGATTCTGGTATTATAATAAGTAAGTAAAACTGATCGGTGCAATATGCAGATAAAAAATATTGTGAGGTATAAATAAAATATTAAGAACACAGAGCATTTTGTGGCATGATAAATGCGATAAGAAAAATTATGTTTATCAGTATGCTGAATATGATTTTTATGATTTATTATACGATATAGCCAAATACTTATAGGTAAATTATTGTAGCCATCATACAATGAGATCACAAAAACTTTTATTATGTATATACGAGTAGAATTATGAACGTGTGGGTTAGATAATAGTGAAAAATTATTACTTAAATTATTATAACTATAAATTGATTTCATAATATTATTACTAGGGCTTAATTTTACTAATATCTTGTTCACTACGAATTGAGAATATGGGAGAAGTGTCGTTTTGACGAACCAGTATAGTACCATGTTTAATCCAGACAAATTTGTAATTGTTCTTTCTGGCCACTTCACGGCTGAGTAGAAATAATTTCTTATTTTTGGGTGTCAGATGTTCATTGACGTAAATATTTCGCGAGATACCTGATATCAGTAGTTGATCAGACTTGATACATTTTACTACCCGCGCAGCAGCAATCACGTTATCCCGTATTATTTTTGTGGAGAATTTGACGATAACATTTTTCGGGTGGGGATTTTTTTTATCCATATGCGGCACTCTGTGCACTGATACTATGTCGGCCGGATTAATAGGGTGCTTAATAATTGACCCAATGTTTTGAAGTACAGCTATCAAGTTTTCATCACGACGTTCTGGTAGATTGACAATTTCTATATTAAACTGCCTGACCTGTTGCTCCATCATGTCTATTTTAGATTCCAGCATTGATAACTGAGTGGGAATTTCTTTACGCTGCAGAGAATCGACTTCCATCGTTTTTAAACGAGCGTCAAATGCATCTTGCCTATTATTCATATAGTTTACTGAATCCTGCATATCGTTTAGCCGCAGATTAAATTGGTTCAGGGTATCATTAATAGATGTTGTTAATTTGCACATTTCTCTCTCAAGTACCAGATTTACGGCATTTTTAACAGAGTCTGTAACTACCGCCTCAATGCTAACTTTAAAAGATTCCATTTGGTTAGCAATTTTCAACTCTAACGCCTCCATAATTGAGTTCAACTCATCGGGCTCAGGGTGTTTGCGTTTACGCATATTAATAAAAATATTATTGTCAGTTGAAGTTGAAGCAGTTGACAAATCCGGATTAGATGAACACAGCTTGAAATGATTCGGGGGTGTTCGCTGCATGTTTGTCGTCATAACGTCGTCCTTTTCAAATCAAGCTAGGAATATATTGAGCGCTCCTTCTTTTTTTATATGACACTTGTTCACGGCGTGAATGAGACTTTCAAACGCAAATTAAAACCACTTAATGCACTGGTCACATAAAATTGACACTTATGGATATTGCAATAGTTTTGATAGTCAAACGTTAAAAGTATTGCAAATAATAAAACAACGAAGTACGCAACTGCTTGTAACAAGCTTCACGGGCGGAATGAGGTGATTTGATCAGCATATAAGTTGCTCTCCCTTACAATTAAATTAATCGCTGAAGAAGGAAATAAAAATTTAAAGAAATCCATGGGCGCTTCGAGTTTCATAATTTCATTTGGGAGATCTTGGCATCCTAAAAACGCAATATGTGACTCGTCATACGCCATACTTTCATCAGACCATACACATTTAACCTTCTTTCTCTTATTTCCTGTGCGCTGTTTTGACGTAGAAGGCTTGCTTGAGATATCTTCTTCTTCCGTTTCATAAGGAATATATTCGTCGCAATCATTATCAAGAGCGTCGTCATCTAAATAAATTTCTTCAAATTCACCTACATTTCCACGATCATCATCTGAAGCGATTTCATCGTCACTGCTCTCTGGAATGAAAATCTCAGGACCTGGGTTTCTATAAGTTTCATCATCCGATGCCTTCTCATCTTCACTACTCTCTGGGATGGAAAATGCAGGACCTGTGAAAAAATATTATACATTCATTTCAGAAAAAAAATCATCCCCACATTAAGTACGTGTAGGGGAGGTACCCCAGAAAAAAACATTTTTCATAATTTTATTTTAGCACTTTGTCGGCGTAGTAAATACACATATCCATGCAAAGTTTCATCTTTCTAGCGCTAACAGTTTGGACGGTAGAGCGAAGACGGACAGACGGACGGACGGACATGACGAAACTATAAGGGTTCCTTGACGTATACTACGGAACCCTAAAAAGACTGGTCAATTCGATGGGACTGGCTGGATTTAGCCCTCGCCATCCAGGTTTGAGTTCTAGGTTAAGATATAGTGAGCAACCCGTCCCGGACGCGCCCGGGGATGTATTCTATACCTAAACTTTCCTCAAGAATCCCTCTATCTATTGTGACCACCGCATGAAAATCCGTGCAGTAGTTTTCGTAAACAGACAGACAGATAGACGTGGCCGACGGCTTTGTTTCATAATATTTAGTGAAGTGATGATGAGTTCATATATAAATAATCAAAACTAGGACGAGTGTAATTACACTGCATAATGTTCCAAATATGACCAAGGGGGTTTAACGAACACATTGCATGAAGTTCCAAATTTGGCCAGTTAAAAAGCGCCTGGCTGCATTTTGTTCCGAATTTGGAACAAACTTTGACCGATTAATTAAACAAGATACTATAAAATATACTTACGTTTTTTACCATAAAAGCGCTGAGGATCCATTTTTCTGCAACACTCACACAGTTTTTTAATTTTATTGCAAGAACAACAACACTTATCGCTGTATGAAGCTGAGAAACGTCGGGCTCCTACAAAATGGCGGCCTCAACTGTTTTGTCCAGAGATAATAACGTTTCAAAAGACTAGAATGGAGGTTGTTTATAGTAGCTTAGTTAAAGCACACCTTACTTTTGTTTGTTGATGCAGAACGGAATAGATAGATGGCGTTGATAACATTTTACAAGGAAAAAATTAAAGCGTTCCAAATTTGGCACAGTATGCGGTAAAGGGTTAATAAAAGTTTATCAGTTTCTAGAGTATTATATTAACACACAAAACAATGCGTCAGTGGTTTGCTCTTTAATTTTTTGCACATTTTTAACTTTTTTAAATTTTTCTACTTTTATGAATATCTGTGGTTTGATTTATTTATTTTTAATGTTATTAAAATATAGCTAATAGTACAAAAAGAAACAATAACTTTTACATTATCCGAACAAATTAACTTCCCCACAACAACAAATTTTATACCTCACTTTCTAGTGGCGCCGCCCTGGTGCCAGAAAAAGTTGTGGATTCATTGGCTTCAGGTGTCCATAAGCTGCTGTAGCTGTCACTTCAGATTCGTAAAAAAAAATACAATAGTGAATAGACTTTTGTTACGCTATGATAGTGTGATTGTAGTCAGCCTATTAAAGTCCACTGCTGAACATAGGCCTCTCCCATATATTGCCTCATAGGAGGGACATTTGCCATAGTTGTAATGTTACTGATGATTTAATAATTTCACATCTCAGCGGGTCATGTGCTCCTGGTAGATTATTTTCTATACATCCATCCATTACAGCCTATAAAAGTCCCCTACTGAAAACATGGGCCTCCCCCATAGATTGCCTCATAGAGGGGATAATTGCCATAGTTGCCACGCTTGGCAAGCGGGTTGGCAACAGCAATTTTTTTTATTTTTAGCCGTTATTAGGAAGACTCTGCTGCCCATCTCCTGATTTGTTTCCCTTTGTCGCCTCTTACGACACCCACGAGATGATATTATGGGATAGTGGATATTCTTACACCGCCACTACACGGTCCAGCACCGACTTAAAAACGTGTATATCCCAAACCGGGATAGTTGAGTGAAGTTATTATAATGTGTGCAGGTCCAGTGGTGGGTGGAGTGCTGTCGTGGGCAGTGGGCTTTGAAACTGCGCTCCGGACCCTCGGCGTTGCTAATCTACTCTACGCGATGTTACTCTATCGAGCGCTTCTAGCTCATCCTCTCTCTCCGCAGGTACGCTACATAAATACTACTTCGTGCTATCCTACTGGAGTTTTGGCGGGAACTTGACCGGCGGCGAATTACTGCTCCTGTATTATTGTTTAAATAATGGTTTGAAGTGGATTTTGACATGTAAAAGTGATGTGATTTTGCGTATTAAATGTCTCCGCATGTGAACTATTAGTGGAAACGGTGAAACAAGTGCTCTGACGGTGATGTGATTCTCAAGATAAGGTGTGTCTGTCTTAGGCGTCTTGAGATACTATCGCCAACTGTCTGTTAACTCAAGTTGCCGCCAAAATCTCACAAAAACTACGCAGTATGTCTACGCTACATATTGCGAAGCAGTGTACTATAAAGCATTATTATCACTTAATGCTAAAGACGTCCTTTTAAAAACATCTTAGCTTAATATATAGACTGAATAAAAGAAGACATAGCTTAAAGGACAAGCATCCAAGCCAAAAATCTTAATATAAAAAAGCGCTGTCCTACTCTGTTATTACAGTATCATCATTATCATCATTACAGCCACAATACATGTATCCTGATTACAGCCTAACTAGTCTACTGCTGAACAAAGGCCTGCCCATAGATAGATCGCCTCATAGGGGGGAAATTTGCCATAGTTACCACGCTTGGCAGGCGGGTTGGCAACCGTTTTTTTATTATTTTGATTCATCAGCCCATCTCCTGTTTCATATCCCTCTCCTTTTACGACACCCACGGCATGATATGGGGTAGTGGATTGTCTTACATAGCATTACATATTCAAGCCATAAACATGTAGAACATTATCATTTAAAAGTTAATTATTAGCCATAGAATAGTAATTTTTTGAGCTACCTGTAATTCAGAAATTATTATTTTTTACTAGTGGTACGCCCCGACTTCGCACGGTTTATTTCGGGGTCGTCCAGGGACCTACATAAATACACAGAAAATTTCATCAAAATCAGTCCAGCCATTTTCGAGTTTTTTTCGAGACTAACGGATAGCCATTGATTTTATATATAGAAACTAGCTGTTCCCCGCGACTTCGCCCGTGTGGAATTTATAATGATTGGATTTCTGGGGATTTAATTTTTTGCGTGGAACCCTAATTACTTTTCTAAAAAGTAGCGTAAGTTACCCCTTATAACATTAGCTATCTGCCACTGAAAGTCCCGTCAAAATCGGTCTAGCCGTTTCGGAGATTAACCAAAACAAACAGCCAGACAAAAACTTTTTAAATTGTTTATTCTTTAGTATTATTATTAAATTTCATATGTATTTAGTAAAAAGCTGTTATTTTAACACAAACAAAACCAAGTGAAATGAGATAACAAAGTTTATTTTTTGAAACGTCATTATTTTAGGCTACTACCGTTATAAAATTAGCTTCCTCGGACAACCCCAGTAGAGAAGTGTATCCTTATTACTATCGAAGCGAAATACAATTATTGATTTATTTTTATAGAATAAGAGCGACAAACGAGCACACAATTCACCTGACAGTAAGTGGATGCTTTGGATCATAACACCTACATCTATCCTCTGTTAAGAATCAAAATGCAGAGGCGTCTCCAGTAAAAACGGTCTCCAGTTTTCTAGACTCACCATGGAATACAATGAAATATTGCAGCTTAATGCTGTTGCTATTTTACGCTAGTATTCTGTGAGACCGTGGTCCTTCCGCGGTCGTAGCGACCCATTCGTGCTACAACCACAATATAACTGCAGCGTGGCTCTACCACGTGTAAAAACATATTTATTGTTAAAACACACTTTTATCTATCGATTGAACTTGTGCTAAAATAAAAAATTTGTGCAACCGACTTCAATATAAATTATTAATGATAACTTAAAAACTACTTGTCAGACCTACATGGGACCACATAAGAAGCACCAGCTTTCAAAAAAAATCATTAAAATCGAAGCACTTAAAAAAAGTTATGATTACATTAAAAAAATACAGTCGAATTGAGTACCTTCTCTTTTTTGAAGTCGCTTAAAACTCGGACCTAAATCTACCAAAATTTAAACTGTTGATAAATATCAGCCGCCATTTGCATAATTTTAGCCACAGATAATATATTTTGTATACAAAGCCTATCAATAACACTGCTAATTTCAACAAGCTATCAAGTGACTCGTACCGGTATTAGGTGTTCCGGTCAATTCGAATTGTTTTCATAACATTTACGTTTTAGAAACGAAATACGCTGAATTGGACAGTAACCAAAATGTCTGTTTGTCATATAAACTTTGTATCATAATATCAACAGTTTATACACCGAGTTTCATTTTGGAAATGCTTAAAAAACATAAATGTGAAAAAAGGACCAATGATACAAACGTTCGGGATTGTCCGCTTCGGCGATTGACTTGAGATCTGATTTTTTTTTATATAGGATAGGGTGACAAACGAGCATACAGTGCACCTGATGATAAGTGGACGCTGTGTCCCATAGACATCTACATCTATCCGCAATAAATAATCGAAATGCAGATGCGTTGTTACCCGTGCGGACTACGATGGAATACCTCGTTTCCAGTTAAACAAGTTTCTGGTTCTCTACACTCACCATACGAATCACAGCAGTGTTAAGCTGATATTTTACGCTGGTACTCTGTGAGAGCGTGATCCTTCCCCGGTCGAACCGACCCATTTGTGCTACAACTATACTACTAATATAGCTGCAGCATGGCTCTGCCACGTAAATGAAATGAATGAGCGCCAAGCACCATAGCAGTTGCTCTATAGGAATGTACACGTTCTTGAAAATGCGATGAATCTTGGGAAATACCACAAAATACTACCAAAATAAACGTAATGATGTTGTTCACAGTGGGGCGCGGGGACTCCCACCGATGACGACAGCGACGTGGACGGCGCTGAATTAACACCGCTTCGCTAATATTTCACTGAGAGCTGAGAGTAATCTATACGAATAAGTCTATGTAGTAAAATATGAATAATAAATCGTTTACCCGAATTCATAGCATTTTATTAACTCAACATCATCCTAATTCGTGCTACAACTATAACATAGCTGCAGCATGGCGTTATGGTGAAATTTGTCCACTGCGCTGTTCCAGTGCATTGGAGGACTTTACAGGTCCTCGAAATATCTGAATATTTAGACTTGTAAGTTTTCCTCTCGGTGTTTTTCCTTTTCTGCCGACTTCCAAAAAGGAGACGGTACTCATTTCGACTGTATGTTTTTTTTTTCATGTGTTACCTCATAACTTTTTTCTAGATGAACCGATTTGGATGATTCTTTTTTTATATGAAAACTGATAATTCTCGTGTGGTTTGATTTGATCAAGGTCAGGCCAATAATTTTTGAGTTATTCTTATTAGCTTATATTGAAGTCGGCTGTACAAAATTATTTATTTTAAATTATTATTATTTTGATGTCCGTTGAAAATAAAAATGGTTGTTTTATTTGAAAGGTGGTACTTCTAATATGATCCCATATTATATATAAATTTGATCAAGATCTGACCTGTAGTTATTGAGTTTAATTGACTTTGATTACATTGATGATGTTATGGTAATGGTTAAAAACGGAAAAGATTCGAATCCGTTACACAATCGTTTTATGCTTGCTGTCTAGTTCTCATTTAAAAATCCCAATGGTTGAAACAAATTAAAAAAAAAACGAATGCGTAAAAATTTTACTGAAAATAAAATCCAAATATTTTGTCACTTTCACAACTAAGACGAATCTAACGACAACCCTTATGTTATAATTTAAAAGTAAAAATTTATACAACCCACTTTATCATAAATTATTAAGAATAACTCAAAAACTATTGGTTAGACCTTGATCTTTGAATTTATATGGGACCACATGTGAAGCACCAGCTTTCAAATAAAAAAAGAATCATCGAAATCGGTTCACCCAGAAAAAGTTATAAGGTAACACACAAGAAAAAAGATAAAGTAAACATACAGTGGAATTGAGTACCGTCTCCTTTTTGAAGTCGGTAGAAAATCCATCAACTTGCTTAGGCTATACGGCATGCGAAAGAAATACGTACATAAATACTTAAATATATACATACTCTCGAACAAGTGGTAAAATTAAAAATTTGTGCAATGGACTACAATGTAAATAAAATAAGAACATCATCAATATAGTCAAAGTCAATTAAATACGCATTATTAAGAATAACTCAAAAACTACTGGGCAGACCTTGATCAAATTTATATGGGACCACATGAGAAGCACCAGCTTTCAAATAAAATCATCAAAAACAGTTCATCTAGAAAAATGTTCTGAAGTAACACACATGAAGAAATACAGTCGAATTGAGAAGTTTCTCCTTTTTTGAAGTCGGTTGAAAACATTAAGAGTTCAGCAAAAAGAAAAAATTAAACTAGCACCTCAAAAGGCCAAATATAAAATAATACAAATAGGGCAAATAGGGGGGAAAAGCCGGCGACACAAGAGATACCATATTCCTTTTCATTAGACCAGAAAATTTAAGAAGCATGGGCATGTAAGCATCTTTGATAGTACTCCCCGTGGCCGGTCTGGTGTCCACAGTCCACTGCCGAATTATGGGGGAGGCCTAAAGTATGTCACACGGTCCTGTATTATTCGCATTACTCGACTTCCTGCATGCTTTGCCAAATCGTCACTTTATCTAAATTTATACATGGAAGAGTCATGCCGTGGAGTGGTGGTGTAAGAATATTCTACCCCATGTCATCCCGTGGATGTCGTAACAGGCGACAGAGGGGAAATAATCAGGAGAAGGACTAAAAACCAAACTGCCCTTACCAACTTGTGTGTAACCGTGGCAACCGTGGCAACTATGGAATATATCCCCCCTATGAGGCAATCTATGGGGGAGGCCTATGTTCAGAAGTGGGCTTGAATAGGTTGTAATGGATGGATGTATAGAATATAATCTACCAGGAGTACATGACCCGCTGAGAGGTAAAATTATTAAATCAACGGTAACATTACAACTATGGCAAATATCCCCCCTATGAGTCAATCTATGGGGGAGGCCTATATTCATCAGTGGACTTTAATAGGCTGTAATGGATGGATGTATAGAAGATAATCTACCAGGAGCACATGAACCGTTGAGAGGTAAAATTATTAAATCAACAGTAACATTACAACTATGGCAAATATCCCCCCTATGAGTCAATCTATGGGGGAGGCCTATGTTCAGCAGTGAACTTTAATAGGCTGTAACGATAGAGTCATGCAGCAACTATATTAGGGTTATAGCACGAATGGGTCGTCTAGACCGGGGAAGGACCACGCTCTCCTAGAATACCAGCGTGAAATAGCAGGTTAGTGCTGCTATGTTTCGCATGGTGATTGTAGAGAACCGAATAATGGGTGTAACAAACGAATGGACTGTCCACTTGATGGTAAGTTGATGCTGTGGCCCATAGATATCTACATTTACCTTCGATTAAGATTCAAAATGCAGATGCGTTGTCACCCCTGAGGACTAAGATGGAATGCTTCGTTTTTTTTATAGGAGAGAGGGCAAACGAGCTTACAGCTCACCTGATGGTAAGTGACTACCGCCGCCGATGAACAACTGCAACACATGGGGAATAGCAGATTGCCGGCCTTTTAGAAAGGTGTAAGCTCTTTTTTGAAGGTCCCTAAGTCGTATCGGTCCGGAAAAATCGCCGGTGGTAAACAATTCCACAGAGAAGTTGTGCGAAGAAGAAAACTCCTAGTAAAACGCACAATCGTGGACCGCCAAGCATCCAGATGGTGAGGATGGTATCGTAAATTTTGACGCACATCGCAATCAATTATCGAAATGGACAATCCCGAACGTCGTTTGTACCATTGGCCCTTTTTTCACATTTAAGTTTTTTAAGCATTTCCAAAATAAAAGTCGGTGTATAAACTGTTGATATTATGGTACAAAGTTTATATGACACACAGACATTTTGATTACTGTCCAATTCAGCGTATTTCGTTTCTAAAACGCAAATGTTATGAAAACAATTCGAATTGACCGGAACACCTAATACCGGTACGAGCCACTTGATAGCTTGTTGAAATTAGCAGTGTTATTGATAGGCTTTGTATACAAAATACATTATCTGTGGCTAAGATTACGCGAATGGCGGCTGATATTTATCAACAGTTTAAATTTTGGTTCATTTAGGGCCGATTTTAGCCGACTTCAAAAAAGAGGAGGTACTCAATTCGACTGTAATTTTTTTTAATGTGTGTTACGTCATAACTTTTTTTAGGTGAATCGATTTTGATGCTTATTTTTTCATTTGAAAGCTGGTGGTTCTCATGTGGTCCCATATAAATTAATCAAGGTCTGACCAGTAGTTTTTAATTTATCCTTAATAATTTATATTGAATTCGATTGTACAAATTTTTAATCATACCACTTGTTCAAACGACAGATAAAAGTGTGTTTTTACAATAAATATGTTTTTACCCGTGGTAGAGCCACGCTGCAGGCTGCAGCTATATTGTGGATGTAGCACGAATGGGTCGGCTCGACCGCGGAAGGATCATGGTCTCACAGAACACCAGTGTAAAATAGCAGCAGCATTAAGCTGCAATATTTCATTGTATTCCATGGTGAGTGTAGAGAACCGGAGACCATTTTTACTGGATACGAGTCATTACATCTTAGTCCTCACGGGTGACAATGCATCTGCATTTTGATTCATAGTCGAGGATAGATGTAGATGTCTATGGGCCACAGCATCTACTTACCATCAGGTGGACTATGTGCTCGCTTGTCACTCTAATTCTATTTTTATTATATATTTTTTTCATTTATATTTAATGCGTGTCAATTTATATATATATATATATAGTTAAGTACATATAATATAATATTTTGCGAAGTATGTACGTAAAGACTATTCAATTATCATTGTGCACTTCGATGTAGAGCCTCATCCTCTTTGACTTTACCGACCGCCGACGAAACATAACTGTCATTTTTTGATAGTTTCATTTGTTTGTTGTGGGCCGCCAAGCCGTTTGGCTCGCGTCAAAATTATGTAAAAGTGAATTTATGTGAAATTTTAGTAATATACCACGCAAATAACAAAACACAAAAATGGCAAAGAGACCTTTAGGTGAGTGAAGTTTGTACACTTCGTTGCAAATGATAGCAGTTTGGCACACCATTAGTGTTAGCATCTTCCATCATCAATGTACCTCGTTGCCTAACGATTTTTTTAAGGATAAGGTTGATAAACGTGCACACAGTCTATCTAATGGTAAATGGATGCTAAGGCTCAGAACGTCTATATCTATACTCGGTTAAGAATCGAAATGCAGATTCGTTGTCACCCCTGAGGTCTAAGATCCGTCTTCGGTTTTCTACACTCACTTCCTCGATCGTATGGACCCATTCGTGTTACAACTTTATAGCTGCAGCATAGCTCTAACACGTATAAACGCGATTTAAAAGAGTTGAAGTTAAACTGTGATTATTATATAGCCTATCAAGACTATTTCCCGCCTTTCTCTGCTAAATGCTGAACAGAACGCACTAATATTAATCAATGCTGTCGGCATTTCTTTAAAAAAAACCCCGATTTAAGATTAATATTGTTTTGATTAATTTTTTTCGAAGGTTTTATTTTAATGACGTCTCAAATGCTTTGCCCACCTAGAATCCATGGTAACGGATAAATCGATTACATATTTAACCTCCATTTAAAGTTAGACAAGCTAGATTGTATGCATTATATGCAATCGATATATATATATATCCCTTTGCATTTTCTTTCGCATCTACCATGAGGAGTGCTCTGAGGAATTGTTCGGATTAATCCCAGCCGCCAAATTTCACGAACGCACATCGCGGCAGAACTCCCGATACCATCCACACCATCTGGATGATTGGCGGTCCACCACTGTGCGATTTAGAAGATGTTTTCTTCCTCGCACGACTTCCTTGTGGAATCGATTACCATCAGCGATTTTTCCGGACCGATACGACTTAGGGACCTTAAAGAAAAGAGCGTACTACTTTTTAAAACGCCGGCAACGCATCTGCATTTCCCTCCCTGGTGTTGCAGTTGTTCATGGGCGGCGGTAGTCACTTACCATCAGGTGAGCCGCATGCTCGTTTGCCCCCTCTCATATAAAAAAGAAATAGGTATCCATAATAGGGAAACCCAGGTCTACGGTGTACCAGATCTTTCTTGCTTTCTTTGGTAATGGATTCGTAGGAATGTACTTTTCCCAGCTTCAAGTAATAAGAAATAACACTCCTCCACAATACGTTGCTGCGTCACACTGCGAATTTTTAGGTAGATATTGACGGCAAGTCGCAGGAGTCAGCAGACATTTTATTGTTTCCTCTAATAGTTCACATGCGTAGATATTTAATACACAAAATCAGACCACTTTTGCATATCGAAATCCACTTCAAACCATTATTTAACAATAATACTGGAGCATCAATCCACCGGCCGTAAATTCCCGCTGAATCTCCGGGTATCACCTTTTCATCATTGATGTAAGTATATATATGCCAACATTTAAGATAGTATTCACGTAACACCTCGGAAACTACATCTTTTTTGGCACTTTCTATCGACTTTTTAACATTATAGAACGATAATTGATAATAATCCAATTCCGCTATCATATGATTAACAGAATAGCCTGATGCCCATTGCGGATTGCAAGAGATCCTTCGACATTTTTATAGAAGGTTGACAAATGAGCACAAATCTACCTGTTGATAAGTGGATGCTGTGTCCCATGCTAGTCCTCGATTAAGAATCAAAATAAAGATAGGTGGTCAGCCGTGAGAACTATGATAGAATGTCTTATTAAGTGGTGAAGCTTGCGAAGTCACTTATTAAGTGGCGAAGCTTGCGAAGTCATTGATTTCACGATGTCTGTCCGTCTGTCCGTCTGTCCCACGATTATCTCGAGAACGGTTTTGAATTTTCAAATTCTGTTTTCAGCAATCGATTACTGATCACCCAGGCATCTGAACCTCCTATTTTGAAACTAATTGCTTAACGGCAACCGTTAGAAACCGCTACAAAGCTGATTGCTTCGCCACTTTGCTATGCTGTTAGCTTGCTAGGTTTATTGATTTCACGATGTCTGTCCCTCTGTCCCACGATTATCTCGAGAACGGTTGTGAATTTTCAAATTCTGTTTTCAGCAATCGATTACTGATCACCCAGGCATCTGAACCTCCTATTTTAAAACTGATTACTCAACGGCAACCGTTAGAAACCGCTACAAGGCTGATTGCTTCGCCACTTTGCTATGCTGTTAGCTTGCTAGGTTTATTACTATTAAAACGGACATTCCTAGATGTAAGATCAAGTGTAACTAAACTTAATATTTACTGGACGTGGTAGTCACGCTGTAGCGAATTGTGACCGAATGAGTCGAGAAAGGACTTCAGTGGCACAGGATACTGTAATAATGCTGGTATCTTTCGTATGATGAGTGTAGGGAGCGGCATACCATGTTACTGTTAGCAAAACCATTATCTTGGTCTCTAGGGGTTAATAAGTTTTTTGATTCGAGGATGGGTTTAGGTATCTATGGGTACACTTACAATCTGGTGGACTGTGTGGTTTTTTTTTAGATTAGAAGGGGCAAAGGAGCATGCGCCTTAACTGATGGTAAGCTCTATCGCCGCACATGAACAACTGCAACACCAGGGAAATTGCAGGTGCGTTGCCGGCCTTTTAAAAAGCATTAAGCTTGTTGGTTGAAGGTCCATTAGACGTATCGCTGCGGCAAAATCGCTGGTGGTAAACGATTCAACAACACGAGGAAGAAATTTCCAAGTACATCGCTCAGTAGTGGACCGCCAAGCATACAGATAACGAGGATGGTAACATGCGTTTTGTCGCGATGTGCCTTGGTAAACTTTGACGGCTGGAATACGATCGCTAGAAATAAGATCGGTCCATCGCAGTAGTTTCTGATCACCTGTATATCCAACTGTCATCAGGTCCCGGTCCAGGTGCGTACGCCTTACCACCAACAGTAGGGTACATCAACCACGACCCATCGCGATACCGCAATCCCATGTACTCCCTGGGCGCGGCAGTGGGATTCCGCACAGCTGCCCTCGGCCCCGGCCCAGCGTACCGTATTGAGCGGGTCACGAAGGAAGGTGTCATGACGTCGCCGGCGTGGAGTTTTGGTGCTAGGTGAGGTAACTTTAGAAAATTCCACATCCTAAAGATGTTAAATATTAATTTATAGAAAATGTTGTGTCTTTCCTAATTTTAAGCGCACCTCCAGCCCTCCCACAATTGCGTGCACTAATCAAAGCACTACTACTCCCAACATTTAGCAATGGGGACTAATAATCTTCCACTCACCAGATGTCGCTAGTTGTGACTGAGGTAAAGTTTTTTGTAACACAATGTCAGTTAATTGAGAAATTAGTTTTAAATAATAGTCTATCATTATCTAGAGTATTATATTAATACACAACACAGTGCATCAGTGGTTTGATTTTTAATTTTTTACACTTTATAACTCTTTTTTCTAAGAAATTATCGTCCCCGCTATGCAATCTGTCAAATATTTTACCTCATTGTAAAGTGGCGCCGCCCTGGTGGCAGAAAAAGTCGTGGAGGTGTTCTTAAAACTAGAAAAGACATCATTTTATTTTATTATGCGTGTCTTAGTATATATATTTTTTAAAGGATAAAGGTGAAAAACGAGCACACAGTCCACCTGATGGTAGTGGTTGCTGCGGCCCATAGACATCTACATCTATTTTCAATTATAAAAAGCAGATGCGTTGTCACCCGTGAGGACTAAGATGTCCTCGTTTCCAGTAAAAAGGGTCGACGATAAAATATAGCGTGCTGTTTAATCCGTTGTGTAAACAAAGGTTAATACTTAATTTTAAATAATAATAATAATGTCATCCAGACCGAATTTCGGTCACGGCGGTCAGTCTTAACGGAGACTTTATACGTGGTAGAGCCATGTTACAGCTATATTAATAGTATAGTTCTAGCACGAATGGGTCGGCTCGACCGGGGAAGGACCACGCTCTCACAGAATACCAGCGTAAAATAGCAGCTTAACGCTGCTGTGTTTCGTATGGTGAGTGTAGAGAACCAGAGACCCTTTTTACTGGAAAAGAGGCACTCCATCCTCATGGCTGATAACGCATCTGCATTTTGATTCGCATACGAGGATAAATGTCTATGAGCCACAACTACCATTTACCATCAGGTGGACTGTGTGCTCGCTTGTCACTCTTATCCTATAAAAAAAAACTCTTCAAGGGTGACAACACATCTGCATTTTGATTCTTAATCGATGTTAGATGTAGATCTCTATGGGTCATAGCATCCAATGCAATCCCATGTCGTATTAACGTCGGTGGTGGGTCTTTCCTAGTGTATAGTGGGGATAGTGCACACAATTATTGAGAGAGGGCGGGAGTTACTCTTCAAATTAGGCAAGACATGTAATTTTATTTAGTTACGAAAATCTAAGCGAATAATTTTTTTTTAACTTCTTTCTATTCTATTAATTATGTAGTTATACTGGCCTTCAGTACCATTCATAATTGAGCACAGCAGTGCACGCACTAAGAGGAAAGGTATAAAAAGAGGGTATGACGGCTCCGCGGCGCAGTGGCTCAGTAATGAGTTGTAGCTCTTAAGGTTGCGGGTTTGAATCCCGCACGGAACAAGTATTTATATGGTATACAAGTAATTGTTCCGGGTCTGGATGTTTGTCCTTGTGCAATTTATGTAAGTCAACTGCCTCCATGATACAGAATAGTGTGGAGGTGACGTTTTTCAAAAAGGAACAACAAAATCCTACCCATACGGTCTCCTAGACTAAAAAGGATTTCTATCACCTAATAATCTTCTATTGTACAGGCTCGCGACACGCAGTTCGTTACGAACTCCAGGGCCTGGTGCTCATGCGCCAGAGCGTTGTCCAAACGGACCACGAGCTCCTGAGTACTCTTTGGGCGCCCGGCCAAATTTAGGGCAACGCCGTATCGGACCAGCCCCAAACGCCTATGCAATACGTATGGGCCCCGACACACCTGCGTACACCATGGCCGCGCGTTTAGGAGTTGCTAATCCCACTCGCTCGCCTGGACCGGCTGTTTACTTCCAAAAGGATGCTGACGTGTACCGGACGAGGTTTGTTTCTTCAGTTTTTGTTGAAGGTATTTCTCCTTGGCAGCTCCGAGCTACTAGGAGCCGTGGTAACTCAGGAGCTCAGGTTTTCGGGTTCAATCGCCGCCGGCACTAATGAAATTGTTAATTGCAATTTAAAGTGCTAATTTACCACATGCTCGGCGGTGGAAGAAAACATCTAATTTGTAGTGTTGTTAATTTGTGTAACATACATGATTGTAAGCTGTTATTTAGAAAAAAAAGTCCCGCTGGGTTTCTTGCTGGTTCTTCCCAGAACAGAGGTTTTTTTTCGAACCAGTGCAGTGGTAATTATACAAAAGAGTGACTTTCAATAAGTATTATTTATAATCTATATTGAATAAAAAAGTTTGTTTCTGTTTCATCGTAATGTAACATCAATATATTTCGAAGACGTGAAGTTCGCCAACAGACATTGGGGCAGCGCGGCGGACATTTACTTGCCCTAAAACACTCACAAATGAGGGATGCCTGTGCCCAGCACTGGGACGTATATAGGCCGTAACTTCAACTTGTTTTCCTTGCTAAATTTGACATCTATATATACATATATATATCTATATCTACTTCTGGTACTTTTGCATCAGCTTTAGAATTAAAACTTTGACAAGTGTATTTAACAATTCGCAACAAACAAGGCGCAAAATAACAACTTAACACTGCTGTGTTTTGTACAGTGAGTGTAGAGAACCGGATATTATTTTTACTGGAAAAGGGGCATTCCATCTTAGGTCTCCGGCTGACGACGCATCTGCATTTTGATTCTTTATTGAGGATAAATTTAAACATATCTATGGGCCACAGCAACCACTTACCATCAGGTGAACTGTGTACTCGTTTGTCACTATCATATAGAAAAGCATCGTTCTGATAACTAAAATTATTAAAAGACAGCGGTTGCCAACCCAGCTGATATTTAACGATGGTATTCTGTGAGGGCACTATTCTTCTCTCGTCCAACCGATACCGAGAAACTGGAGACATATTTACTGGTAACAAGGTATTCCACCTTAGTATCCAGTGTATGCGCAAGCACAGGTGCACTCTCTATTCTCTATTCCCTCACTCTGATAGTCCGATGGGACGGTAAGCCGACGCGACCGGAGACAGATCAGAAACAGGACCAACGGCTTCACATGCTTTCCGAGGCACGGGGGTAACACACCGCCAATTTTCCGACTCCGGACTGAGAATTTCTTGATTGAAAAACCTAATAACAAACCTCATGAACCACAACCGCGTTTACGACCGCTATATCAACGAGGCAGTCTACATTCATTAGTATACCGCCATATACCGCTGGCTGCAGGTGACTTAGGACCGTGTTTTGTGACGAAAACATTTCACTTAATTAATAAGAATCATTAATAGTCTACCTTACCTGAGGATGCCTCGTGTAAAGGCGAAACACGTGTCGACTGTGATGTGTACTTCCTAGTTTAGTGGTGTTGAGAGTAGTCGGGCTAGGGTTAGTGGTGACGGAGATAGTGCAGGCAATTGAGGGAGGGCGGGAGGTGCTCTTCATACTAGGTAAGACACATGACATCTTTTTATTCTATTACGCAGACCTTAGTTAGTTTTTTAACCTCGACCCAGAATTTTTTTAATTTTTTAGAAATTGACTCAATTTAACTTTGTTATGAACAGGCCACCTTGCTATTCGCTGGGAGCTCGTCTGGTCGGCGCAGGCAAGGCCACTCGCTCACCCGGCCCAGCTTCGTATCCTCCCAACTTATATAACACTAAGAAGGTGCGTACCGACAACGACTAGTGCCATAATATCATAAATAAATAAATTGATCATTGAGTCATTAAATCCACATGATGGTGGCTGCTACAACTTATTCATACCTTCAACCTACTTCAAAGGTTACAAGTGAGCGATCACCCCTGAGAACTATTAAGGTGGAATTTCTCATCCTGTAATTACACCGGCTCTCCAAACTTTAAACCGAAACTCAGAGGTAGATGTAGGTACTTAGTTATAAAAACATAACATAGCAGTACTAATTAAATTAATAAAATTATCTATGTAATTTTGTTTTTATTTCGTTTAATTAAAGGAGCCTGCCAAGACTGTGTATAATTTGCCGTATTTTTTTTTGTTTATGGAATAACGGTGGTAAATGAGCACACAGTCAACCTGATGGGAGAGAGAATGCTGTGGCTCAGAGACATATACACCTACATCTAGCCTCGATTAAGAATGAAAATGCAGACGTGTTTTCACCCCTGAAAACTAAGATGGAATACTCAATTTCCATTAAAAAGGGTCTCGGGTTCTTTACAAAAGCACCTACGTTTTATTCCCATAAACAGTCAACATAGTCCTGTCCTATTCGAGCTGACCACATTCATTCTGCAACTATTATATATCGCTGCAGCGTGACTCTACCGCGTATTTTTGTCCCTGAAATAACTTTAACTTGAAATCTTACAGTAGAATATTAATTTATTTTGTGTAAACTTTTTTCGGGACTGGCAACCCGTAACATTGCAGCTTATCTAACGGACTCGGTCACTTTACCTTTCTAAATAGTTTCTTGACAAATGATTAGTACTGAATTTGGGCCTCTTCAATTATAAGGGATTTGCTTTAAACAGATTGAAAGTTGGAGGGTGAACAACCATTATAGTTAAATGTTAAATCAAACACGCTTTACTTATTACAGAATCCGTACGCATTCTCTTTTGGCACGAAACACAACGAGTACTCCCCTCCCATGATTATCAAAGAAGACACTATGGACTGTTTATAAGTCCAGAACGTAAACAAGCTGCTGTTTGTAGTGATTGTCTAAAATAGGAAATGTCTTCAGGGAAAACAATACCATGAAATATATTTTTTTATTGTTAGGTAACTATAATCCAATTTAATACAGAATGAGTTGGGTGAGACCACGATCATATTTTGTATTTTTTTAACAATTTGAAATATTAATAATAAAAGGTCAACAAACTAACACTAATAATAATTGTGCCTTGCCAATTTATAAACGGGCCAGTCAGTCAAAATACATATTTTGTAATTTAGATAAGAATATCATATTTGGACTATGTATATAGTATTTTTTTCCAATTTATTTTTAATGTAGTGTCAATGATACTTTGATACAAAATCGGTTTTATTACAAAACGGTTTATCGATAGTCTCGGGTAGAAGACTCTTTATCACAACAGAAATCCCCTAGTCATGGCGTCAGTCTGCAAAATTTGACATTTACTGTCAAATTCTATACTTTTATAACGGGGCTTTTTTAAATAATAAAACGACTCTTTATATCTGGGACAATAATTTATATATTACTTTTTGTAATAAGATTGAGACTGAAATGTTTACATAACATGGTTACGGAGACTGAAATGTTATTAGATACATAACTTGGTTATCGAGTCTCATGCTTAAACTATGATATACCCAGTTTTTTTTTTAAATATTTTAGCCGCGGCACCACAGCCTTCGCGAAATGTGACATTGCTGTCAAATTACTTTTTTATATTTCCGAGGGACTTTTTGCGTGAAATGTACCACAGAGTACCTTTTTATACAACGAAAACAAACTATAAGCTATTTTTGTTTAAGTCGGAATATGTTTGCCAAATGTGTCATTGCTTTAGCTTCAGGTCTTTTTGTCCTAATCGTCGAGTATTACGTTGATATTATATACTGATTTTTTTTTTGTAATCGCTGATACATTGTAACAATTATCTCCTAGTATGATGTAGTAATGTTTGGCATTTGTAATGTAAATGTACAATTTCACTATTGTATTATTGACGAGTCTACAATTTGAAATAAAACGCTATGAAACTATTATTGTTTTTTTAATTATCAATAACAAGGTTTAAATACATTAAATCTCCTACATCTAAATATAAATAACAAGTTGCTTGTTAACCAATTTTAATATTCCTGGTTTTACGACTAATTAACCTTGAAAAACGGTAAAAACCGACTTTACAGAACTAAAAAGAATATGATCCCAGAAATCGGTTGAGGTTGAGATTTTCTCACGGAATTTGTGAGACTTGTTTCCTGTTTAGTTTGTAGAAATGCAAACAACAATAAATTGTAGGCATTTAGTAAAAAATGAACAATGCAAAACTTTGGTACTAGAATAGGTCCAGCTATTACAAAGGAGATTTAATTTTAATGTCAACATAAAAATGTAACACCTTGTCACATATCAAATGAAAGTGGATCATATTACAATAGATGAGTACACTGAAGTGGGCTGGACGTACACAAAAAAAAATACAAATTGATCAACAGTAATTCTATCTTCATATACCTAACTAGGCACTGTTCAAAACTTCCGCATGGACTTAAGCTTATTGTTTCGCCGCATACCAGCCGCCCTGACTCGCAGCCAATACTGTTTGGTGTTGGGGTCCAACTCTTCGATCCGGGGTGGTCGTCCTGTGTTCAAGGTCCACAACCAATCTGGATATTCGCTGTCATCCTTTAGCTGAAATTATACAAAACATGTTGAGTTAATCTATACAAATAAATAAAATTGAAGTGTCTGTTTGTATTGCCAAAATTACAGCTTTTTACTAAATGCATATGAAAGTATATACGGTATTAATAACAAACATATTTTTTTTAAAGTTTATGTCTGTCTGTCCGTCGGTCTGTCTGTCTGTCCGTCCGTCTGTCTGTCTGTTTGTTACGGCTAATCTCCGAAACGGCTGGACCGATTTAGACGGGCTTTTCACTGGTAGATAGTTGATGTCACAAGGAGTAACTTGGGCTACTTTAATTTTAGAAAAAGAATTAGGGTTCCGCGAGAAAAATTAAAACCCCAAATAACACGCGGGCAAAGTCGCGGGGAACAGTTAGTTTTTTTATAAAATTTAAGTAACAAATGAACTTCCAATCCACCTGATGACAACTGACACAGTAACACCAAGAAAAGATAAAATAACAAAAATTGACTGCAGTTCATGGATAAAGTTAAAAAATAAAGTTACAGCCTATATACGTCCCACTGCTGGATAAAAGCCTCCCCTCATTTCCGAGAGGGTTTTAGGGCAAGGAAATGTCCGCCGCGCTGCACCAATGGGTGTTGGCGAACTTCACATGTCTTCGAAATTTTTTTTTTCTTATTTCTCAGACAGGTTTCATCACGATGTTTCCCTTCACCGCCGAGCACTTGGTAAAGCCCATGGATATCCACAATTAATTTCAAACAAAGAAGGTAACAGAGCTCATATCCGAGGACTAAGATGGAATTCTGCATATCCTAAAATTATATTGGCTGTTCATAACCTTTGTTCCAAAAGAAATCAGTGCAGGCTCTACTGCGAGTAAGTAAGGCAGAATGGGGGCTCTACCAACTAGCCTATTTAATATTCATATGTATTGTGTATCCCATTTTAAAGCAAACTATTCGAGCAAAATAAAAATAACAAGTAGTAAAATTATAAAATTTTGTACAACCGACTACAATATAAATTTAGGATAACTCAAAAACTACCTGTCAGACTTTGATCAAATTTATATGGGACATTAGAAGCTTTCGCAAAAAAAATTATAAAATCTAGAAAAAAGTTATGCGGTAACACACATAAAAAAATACTGTTGAATTGAGTACCTCCTCCTTTTTGAAGTCGGTTAAAATTATTTGAGGACTTTTTTTTCAATATAGATCACATGTGTAATTCTTATTGAAAGTCATTTTTTACTTTACCACTGGTTCGAAAAAAAACCTCTGTCCTGGGAAGAGCAAGAAACACAGCGGGACTTTTTTTTAAAAGCATATTTTACATTAATGATTGGTAGATACAAAATTTATTTTAGAAACAGCTTGAAAGCGACCACCTCATTCCCAAGGGTTATAATCAACCATGTATTCATTTATACTATAATAACCCTTTTTATACAGTTTCAACTTAACAAAACATTTAAACTTGGTAATAGAGAGAGCCTGTACACTTTCCGGGACCCTGTTGTAATAGCGTATACATTGCCCCATGAATGAATTACTGACTCTGTGGAGTCGAGAAACTGGTATCACTAGCTTGTGTTTGTTCCTAGTGTTTACAGAATGTACATCACTTTTTTTACTAAAACTACCTTTGTTTTTGTGAACATACATTAAATTTTCGTAAATATACTGAGAGGCCAAAGTTAATATATTTATTTCTTTAAATATATCTCTAAGAGACTCTCTCGGTTTTAGGTTGTAAATAGGTCTAATGGCCCTCTTCTGTAAAACAAAAATAAATTCAGAATTTGCCTTTCCCAATAGCAAAACCCCATAAGACATTAGTCTCGACACTAGTGAGACCTCTAATCTTTTTTACAGCATAGGCTGTAGAACTTAGTCTGCTTGCTAGTTTGGACATATGGGGGCCCCACTGAAGCTTTGCGTCGAGAGTGATGCCAAGAAAAACAGTGGATTCAACAGGGCTTAGTTCTTTCCCATTTAAAAACACATTGGTACTCAGATTTTTAACATTCGTTGTTATAATTTTAATACATTTAGTTTTATTTCCGTTAAAATGTAGATTATTAACGTTAAACCAATGCACCAATTCTGATATAGCATTATTCACTTCGTCACATTTAAATGATTGACGTTTAAGCTTAAAAATCAAGGAAGTATCATCAGCAAATAATACTATATCGTGATTATCCCCTACCCCTAAGAGAAGGTAAGTCATTAATATACACTAGAAATAGTAATGGGCCTAGAATAGAGCCCTGAGGGACACCCATTAGTACAGGTGACCTGGAAGAACTTTTACCATTGATAATAACTTTCTGCATTCTATTACTTAAATATGAAATAATGAGTTTAAGCACTGTGTTCTTGACACCATAGTACTGTAGCTTCCTGATTAATGTCTCATGGTGAACGCAGTCGAAGGCCTTGGAAAGGTCACAAAGTATACCCAAAGCATCCTCTGAATTCTCCCATGCACAAAAATATGTTTAATAAGCTCAACTCCAGCGTCAGTTGTCGAGCGACCCCTTGTAAAACCGAATTGATTTTTATGAAGCAATTTATTAATATTAAAGAAAACTTAACATCTGATCCAAAATTATTTTTTCAAAAATTTTACTAAACGTTGGTAGTACAGAAATTGGTCTAAAATTGGCGGGGTCTAATGTACTACCAGATTTAAATAAAGGTATGACTTTACTGTTTCATTAAATCAGGAAACACACCAGATTCGACGCTTGTATTAAATATAGTGGCTAGATACAGTGCTATTATATCTATTATAGATAAAATAACTTTAACGGAAATCCCCCTAAAGTCTGCAGTTTTCTTAACATCAATAGTTTTAAAATATTTAACGATATCTTTTGGCAGTACTCTATGGAATTTAAAAGTATTTGAACAAGAGAAGAATTTAATGATTTTGTTGTCAAAAAGGAACATCAGTAAAATGTTTCTCAAAAGCCATAGCAACTTCTTGATCAGATCGCGTTAAATTATTGTTAATATTCAATTGAAAATCCGAGTTGCGCGGTTTGACCTTGCCCGTTTCACTATTTAATATTCTCCAGGTCATTTTAATTTTGTTGCTTAAATGTAAAGCCTTAGCAGTGGAGCACACTTTTTTAAATATTTTACAATATATTTATACATAATCTCTAAATATAACACTACTATTATATGATCTTCCATCATATATATCTCGTATAACCTTTGCCTACTTCTATAAATTCCTACTGTCGCCCATTCATTAAATGATTTGCGACTGTTAAGAGAAAGTTTTAGAAGTAAATATCCTATTAAATTCACAACTTATAATTTTAAATAATGTACCATACGAGGGCGGTATTGAAAATTTCGGGAATCAAGGAAGTGACACAACATTACTATTTAAAAATGTATTTATTGCTTTTCGAAGTATTCTCCGCGAAGTTTGACACATTTTTCCATACGATGGAACCAATCATTGAAGCAACCATTCCATTCGGAAGTTGGGGTCTCCAAAATGGCCGTTTTGTAGGCGTCCACAGCTTTACATGTGATGAAAATCTCTGTCCACGCAAATTATTCTTTATTTTACGGAAAGTATAGAAATCATTAGGGCTTAGGTCGGGGCTGTACGGCGGATGGTCTAACAATTCTATGTTTTGTTGCTCTAAAAACTCTTTTGTTCTGTGTGCGGTGTGAGAACTCGCATTGTCGTGATGGAGGATGATGCGGCGGTTACAGTTCTCTTTACGGAGTTCAGAAACGACCAGTGGCAAACAAATGCTAGCATACCATTCTGCATTAACCGTTCTTTGTCCCTCAAGAGGAATAGTCGTAACATGGCCGGTTTTGTTAACACGTGATACCCGACACAATAAGTACAGTAGCTAAAAATTCGACATTCAATGTCCCGGATTCACTTATCACAAAATTATAAATAGGCAACTAACGCGATCTCTTAATGAGTCATACGGTTCAGCGTTAAACACAACTAAGTTCATTCGACACCAAAACACCACGTCGCGAAAAGAATTCAAAATACGCCTCGTTGACACGTAAACTAACAAACCAACCAAAACACAAAAAAGGGCACTTAACGCGACGGCACAATTATAATGATTTCCAAACAATCAACCGGGAGACGCTCTCGACCAAGGAATGCGCGGCTCGAATCCTAGACCGTATATCTACTCGACGCGCGCGTGCACAATTCCACATCACCCGAAAAAGTTTAATTATTGCATAATTCACATATCCACGTAGCGAATTAACACGCACTAAATCTAACTATCTGGACCCTACACGGTCGCGTGAACTTCGGCCGAGATAATCGAGATACGCGGATTCAAAATCGCGGCCAGCGAACTACTGCTTCTTCGCCCACGCGTCGAGCCACTGCAAGCCACACACGGCCGCCCCACCTGGCGGCGTTTTTTTCACCTACATACCATCGGGTGACGCGCCAGCTCGAACGCAATTGGATGGCGTTCAAAAATGACCAAATTTGGGCATAAACAGGCGGTAACGTCAACTTTCCATTTTATGACAATTTATTTACAAATTTATTATGCCGATAGAGATTTGCCAGAAGTGAGGTTCTGCAAGTTCTTGTTTTCACAGCTTTATGGAAATATAAGAAAACATATGTCAGAGGTGTCACTGACAAGATTGGCTACATCTTGAAGTGTGCTTTCATTAAAACATACTTCAAGCTGCCGAAGAAGATCAGTCAGTTTTTACCATCAGTGAAGTGTGATGTTCCTCTGCAAGATGCAGGAGTGTACAAGCTTGATTGTGAATGTGGTCTCTCTTATACAGGACAAACAAAACAATCAATAAACTCCACATTAAAGATCACATAGTTGATGTGAGGAATCGACGCTCCGGAAGTCTGCAGTCTGTGAACACGTACAGGATCGCCCCCATCACTAAATTAGATTTGATAGACCACAAATCCTCGCTAAAGAACACCGATTCCTTTCAAGGATGATTCGTGAGGCTATTGAAATCAAAAAACATCCTAATTTCAATAGAGAAGATGGCTGGGTGCTACCATCTGCTTGGGATCCTATAATTAATAAAATTAAATCCCAACCCAAGCATACAACTGTAAGACTGTAAGTAATACTGTAAGTTCATACTGAAAAAAATTTATAATTTTTAATTTGGAGGTAGGTGTGGTTAACTATGACATTGGGACGTCAAACACCTCAGCCCACGGAGTACTTTTATGCCTCAGCACCGACCCCCCCCCCCCTTTATAATATAAAGTAAATATATGGGAAAAATCCGTGAAAGTAGTTTTATTTAAATGTGTAGTGTTCGCGTAAATATAATAAATTACAAAACTTAAAATTTAAAATATACAATTACATCTAAAGCGCAAATCTCGAGAGCAGCTGACCCGATTTCGCTAATTCTTTTTTTATAATATTCCTTCCTTCCTTTTACAATGTATGGAAAGAAAATTTTTAAAAATTGTCTGCAAAAGTCTAAAAACAACACTTTTCTTTATTTCCATACAAAAGATTCGTAATAATACTTAAAAGTCAATTTGAACTTTAATACAATACCATAAAGATTAAGTGTTAGTGGAGCGGTTCCGGGAAGGCAAAACAATTGAGTGACTTTAGTATCATATAAATATTAATGTCAATATTTATAAGACATTACTCAAAAACAAAATTATGGTTCCGTGCAAAAAAATTGATATCCATGAAATCGTAGTAAATTCCACGCGGGCGAAGTCGCGGGGCACAGCTAGTATTATATAAATATACTTTGACATAGATATCATGCTTTGCTCTCAAGATATTATTCTGACATCAATCTCAAGATGTTATAAGAGTAGTCGGAGGAAACGGGCAGCAGAATATTCCTGACAACAGCTGAATAAAAAAAATTTTGGTTGCTTAGCAAGCATGGAAGGCCTATGTCCAGCAGTGCAATTTCCTATAAAATAAAATACACAACTCGCTAACCTTAACATCTTCCCCTGTGATATAAATGTTGGAGCCGCATACTTGGCTCACCAGCTTTACAGGGTCAGTCTCCACAGGAAGTTCCTTTTTCTCCATAGCTCCTAGCTTGCCTAGCTTTTTCTTACCCTTACCCAGACCGAGGACACCTGGTATTCCAAACAAACTTTATTAACAACAAAGATCATTTTTTTTTAATCGTTTTAGTTAATACGTTATTTACTAGGTTTTCTGAACCATTGTTAAGAGTAAAAATCACATTTATTATGAATTGTTTTTAAACAGATTGGTAATTTGAAGTGGCAATGGGCATGCCATATAGCTCAAAGAACCAACAACCAATGGCCAAGAAAGGTTCTCGAGTGGAAACCTTGTAACGGTAGGCAAAGTGTAAGGTTCCCCACTAGAGGAGTGACAGTCTGGTAAGATTTGCAGGCAGTTGATGGATACAGGTGGCTCAGAACCATGTTCTGTGGAATACCACACACCAAGGAACACCTTGTGGGGTAGGTCTATGTTCTGCAGTGAACTTGTGAAGGGCTGTCATGATGATGATGAAGAATTGTTTCCTATTAAGAAACATAACTTAGGTTGCAGGCGCCGAGGACAAGCAGCCATCTGTAGCTTTCGTCATGGGGGTATAGTGCCATAGTTGCCATGCTTGGCGAGCTGGTCGGCAACCGTAGTTTTTTTATTATTTTGCTGTTATGAAAAAGATGCTGCTGCCCATCTTCTACCTCAATTTACCTCTGTCGCCTCTTACGACACCCACGGGAATATATGGGGTGATGGATATTCTTAACCATCCGTGAGGTGACATACCTCAAAATCTTATAACAAGATTTTACAATCAGTGCGTGTTACCAGTGGCGACTTCTAGATCTGAGACGAAGTCCTTCACTGCTGACGTATAAAAAATCTCAAGGTCACTCAACGAGCTATGGAGAGGGTTACGTTAGGGGTTTCTCTGCGTGATAGACTTAAAAACGAGGACATCCCTCGTGGCCCTTCATTAGCCCTGTCAGATGAAGTTATAAGAGCCGCATAGGCTAACAGCGTTAACAACTCGAAAATAGAGTAGAACCAGAGTATCCGACATAGCCCAAAGTATTAGTAAGCTGAGACATGCAGGAAGTCGATATATGCAAATGGCTCAGGATCGTGCCTTGTGGCATTCTTTGGGAAGGCCTATGTTCAACAGTGGACTTGTGAAGTGTTGTAATGATGAATGATGTAGAAAACTAACAAGTATTATACAACCAGCAAGTATTTCAAGTGCTGCTCCTACAATCCATTGAACTGTATATAGATATAATATACTAGAAATGTTATCTATTGTTTAATATTGTCAATTTTAAATTTTACTTCAGAAAATATAACACAAAAACATAATCCATTGCCAAAATGTATTGCAGATAAGTAAAATGAGAATTACTTTATATACATATATTATACGTAGCTATTGTATGTATTATTTTTATTTATGGTATTATTTTATTTTTATTTATAGCATCACTTAAGGGGCTACTCCATGCGAACGACCTTGAGCATTTGACCGCTTGCTACAATATTAATATATTGTAGCGAGCGGCTCGCCGGAAGAAATATGTAAGACGCCACCTATTGTACGAAAGTAGTATTATTTTTTCAACATCAATAAACTATTTTATGGAAATACACATAGCGTACAAAGATAAATGTATTTTAATTTTTTTATTCTGTATATATTAGTTGCATTATATTAGAATTATGTATTTTCATATATTATCTAATTATGAAATTTTATAATTAATTATATATTAAAACTGAAGCATTGAAAATTGTGAGTTTAAAAGATACCTATTCACTATAGGTAAATAAATAGATAGCTCGGCTTTTGTACAAATATTTGGTGCAATAAAAAATAAATAAATAAATAGGATGTTTCGCATATGTGTTTTTGATTATTGTTAATTTTTACGTGTCACGTATTGAAAAGTTACCTACTAATTTTTGAACTTATGCTGGCAGATATTATCCTCACCCCAATGATTGATGAGGATGAAAATCAATTTTATTTCTACATACGTAATTATATTTATTTATACATAAGGGTAACTTTAATAAAGGTAATACAAAAATCAACAAGAAGTATAAGGGTTCAATCTTTCAATTTCAGTTGTAAAAAAACGTTACCCCCACACTAGGATTTTCTCCTGTGTCGTGGAGGCAGTTTACAAACATAAATTGCACAAAGACAAACATCCAGACCCGGAACAATTATTTGTAGGCCATACAAATACTTGTTCCATGCGGGATTCGAACCCGCGGCCCCCAGCGCAACAACTGATTGCTAAGCCACTGCGCCACCATGAAGCTAATACAAAGACTAACTTTGTATTTGCTTCATGGTCGCCGGGTTATAGCTAAAGTGACCATACGTCCCGTTTTGAACGGGACTGTCCCTTTTCTCGGTCTCCTGTCCCATTGTCCCCAAACAAAGCTCCGGGACACAAAATTGTCATGTAACTAGTTGGATGGAAGTATTCAAAGTCAACAATCTTCAACATAATTTTTTTTAATCGAATATATTTTATGTCTACCTGGTACGAATGCTCCGGTAGAAAGAGTATTTTTTTATTTTGCATAAATTGTGGACGTCTGAAAGAAACACTTACGGTTCCAGAGTTCTAAAGGCGATGTTGTTAACAAAGATAACAATAAAAAACTTGAGCAGAATTTTATTCTTATTTAAAATCATCACCAACTTTATTAAAGCAAATTTAATCCACTGACAAATGTAATTAATAATTAAAAAAAATATGTTGCATTTAATAATTACCGTCTATACCGAATATAATTTTATAGTGAACACTAATTGTATAAAGTTATAGTTTTTAGAGTATAAATAAACCCATGTCCTGTTTTGAGTTAAAAAATAAATGGTCAGTTTAGTCTTTTTAGTTAAATTTAGTTTTAAAAATTTTTAGTAGTAAAAAGTAGGTATATTAGTACCTACTTAGATACTTTTTACCGAATTATAAGTATAGAACACCTTATGTACTCAATTATTTTTTGAAAAAGAAGAAAAAACAAGCAATAAATAATATACTATATTTTAGCAAAAAACTATAACTTAGTAATACTAATTATAACTTAGAACAAAAATGAAAAACTCATAACTGACCTTTTTCCCGACCCAGGATTCGAACCCGGGACCTCATGATCAGAAGTCGCACTACTACAACCACTAGACCAACGAGGCAGTACTATACCTGATAAGATATTGTGGTTGGGTGATAATATTGAATTAGCCTTTTATAGTGTAAATTATAATATTTGTCGAAATTTTAATTATAGATTCGAACCTTACATGCTAATGGTGCTTCATTTTTTTATTTGCATTTACTTCAAAGAAAATACACGCAAAAAGCTTCATCGCGCAGTAAAAAACACAACAAATATATGTATAACTAATACGAAAAATTATACCCAAAACAAACAAATAATACTACCTATAAATAACCTAATAAGTAATATTATTTATCGACTGATATTACGTGAGTGTATGCGGCGCTGGTCGACGCTCTAACGACACGGGCTTCGCGTCGAAGAGCTCAGGGCTCACTGACTAAGCAAGCCCGTGAGCAGTGAATATGCCCAGATTTTAAAATAATTTCTTAATAAAATCAAATTTTGGTCTTTTGAAAAAAATTTACTATAGAAATGTTTATTAATAAATTGCCTATCCATTGGTGTAAATCGCAAAATAAAATAATACTTACTTTACGAGGAGATCCATGTTATCAATAACAATTTCACATTTATGTGGTTTCGTTGTAAGGAGATTATATTAATATTTATTCGATTAAAAAAAAATTGGATATAGCTTTTATGGAATCAAGATTATGTAGAAATATAATGTGTTTTTTATTTGTTGATATATCTTATAAATAAAAAGTAGATAGCTTCTAAAAACCGCCCAAATAACGACTGGCGCGACTTTTTGCTCAACCTGCGCCTTAATATAATTCCTGTAACATTTTGTATATTATTTACAGTAGTATTGGTATTGTAGGCAATAAGTTTGCCTTTTTAATATATTTTCCTTTGTTGGTCTACTGGAAGATATTTCAACAAATAATGGAATAAGTAGAACCATTGTACAAACTTACTATAAGACTGCTTTTGTATCTTATTGAGTGTAAATAAAAAAAAAAATAGATGTTCGGAATCATGGTGTGTGACAAAACCATACTGTTTTTATTTTAATGTGAAACTCTTTCCAACTTTCATGACTAAACTGCTGAACTGATTTTGATAAAATTGGGATAGTTTGATGTCTGGTGAAGTTATAAAGATAAACTATCACAGCTAAGTAGGCTTCACAAATTTGATCGTTATTAGCCGTTAAACTGCAAACTTGGCAAAAAAGCTATGAAAGGAAATGGTAATTCAGTCGACCAATTTTGACGATATTTGGTATTCAGATAGCTGGAAACATTAAAAAGGCTAGGCTACCTGTTATCCTCAAAATTTTATAGAGAAATGTTGAGGATAAAAGGAATCAAATTCAGATAATGACTCCATGTCTGAAGAATATGCTGAATCATGAGACTCGCCACTGTATTTGATCGCTTTAAGCTTATCATTATACCAAGTACAATTTTAAAAGTGACAATATTTCTTAGTTTACGGGTATCAGTAAAATCTTTTTACATCCCTAGTACTCTTTCATATCAATATTTCTTTATTATTGTTTCTAATATTCACAAAATATAAATAGTTTCCACTTGCTGATGAAAGGATACAACATTTTTATTCAAATAACTCATCGGGCTATTTTCACAAAACGTAATTATCGCACAATTCTGCATTTTTGAAATAAATTGCACCCAGAAACACTTGACAAAAAAATTGAACAACAACTATGTTGTCAAATGAGATGTGTTGACATTTATAGGTGTGAATTTACATGTTAGTGGCTACACGGGCACCACCCACTCCCCCACTCAATTGTGTATGTATTATAGTATTCTATGGGTTAAGAAAGATACACTACAGATTTATACCTAACATAAATCTGAAATGCTATAGCCTATATGTCTCACTCTTTGGCACAAGCCTCCTAACATTACTGAGAGATTTAAGACCAAGGATATGTCCACTGTGCTGCCCCAATGTCCATTCTCAGTTTGAGTGTGTTCAAGTTAGCAGACTTCACATTTTTTTCTTTTTTTAATTGAGATTGTTACCCCCAAATAGGATTTTCTCTAGTATTGTATATCATCCAGATGTGGAACAATTATTTGTGAGCCATACAAATACTTGTTCAGTGCTGGATTTGAAAGTGCAGCTCCTAACACTGCAACTCATTACTAAACCACTGTGCCACGGAACCGGAAACTTCAAATGTATAATGTATAATATAATATATAATTTCTTAGACATGCAAGTTTCCTCACAAGATTTTCCTTTGCCGTCAAGCTAATGGTAAATCAACACTTATTTTTGTGATAACAATTTTATTGGTGCCAGCTGGGTTGCCCGCGTATTGTGAAATTAACAGCGAGTGCTTGGCCCCATTAGCTACCACAGCTCTTACACAAAACCATACACTACTCTAATAAATATATTTTAAGTCGTAGGATCATATAAAAGTATTACCTCCCGCTGCTGAAGTAGTCTTCTTAACCGCGTAGGAAATCACAGTTGTATGTAAAGTAACAGAATTAACACTAGAAATAAGTGGTAACAATGCAGTACTCCGAGCTATTGCTCTTGTACGGAATAAATTGAGCATTATAGACATTCTCAATATTTCCTTTATGCTTTAACGTTTTGGTCACAGACTAGAGGATGCTAATTACAGAACACTAAAAAGAGTATAATTTTAAATGTCCTAAAGCAAATACCATTACCCTAGCTGGCATATACTTTTGGTTCTATTGAAATAGTATAATCACTGTTTTAATGCAGTGATATCCAAAAAGTATAATAAAATCACTACGTTTTATTTCAATTGTTTGTTTTTGTTGATAAAATTCGAGGAGAAATTTATTCACGAGTTCACGAGTAATTGTTTAGAATTTAGGGATTTAGGTTAGTTGTTATTGTTGTTACGATTTGACAATTAAGACAGGCAAAGGTCTTAGATCACGCAGCCTAGATTGACTTTAATAACAGTACGAGCTCAATACCAAAAAGGAAAATATACTTGGGATATTTGAAGCGACTCAGCGCCTTATTTACCATCCATTCCAGTTGTCGTGCACTATCCACTATCGTGCGCGCATCCAGCGTGCTAAAGTCCAGTCGCAAGGCAGGAAGAATTTCGTACAATGCCCTCTTTGCCTACTGACAGTGGTCACAAACATTTTTGTATAAAGTGCCGTTTATATAAAATTTTGAAGGAGAAACAAATATATTAACTAACTTATTAAATAAATTGCTGTTGTTATATAAATTATTTATTTTGATTTTAGTATAAAAACAGATTAATATTAATTTGGCAGAAATAAAAAATGAAAATTCAAAAATCAGAACCTGATTTCTCTGTATCTGAATTATTGCTTTCCGACGACGTTTTGCCTGTCACAGATATGAAAATCTGTCACTATTCAACTGGGATTTGCAAGAACAAAGGCTTTCATACCAACTGGGCTTGGTTTGCCGGGGCAATATTGTTTAATTCCACCTGCCCCACTAAAAGGCACTATAATTTAGTCAAGAGACATGTGTTTTTCTTTTTCTTGTACCCTACATCCTACTTGAATTCACTGTATCAAAGGTCTGATTTTCCTACTTATCCTACTTATAACTTATCTTCCGCACGTTCAGCTTGACTAACATTGTCATTAAATACAAATTTGATAGAGTTTCTGATTTGTATAAATCTGTAACGGGACATATTATCCGCAATTATCACCATTCTCCATTTACTTTCCCAGTACATTCTTATTACTGGATAGTTTACAGAAGGCATAATGAACGTAATCCCGGTGTACACGTAAAATTCTTTCATATCTAAATTCATGCTTTTTCCATGCAATTTTACTAAACTGTTTGTTCAAAATATGTAACTTTTTCAAAAAAAAAAAACTGAGTTTAGTGGTAAATAAGTATGCTGTGATAATTCCATTTCTTTCGGTGGGAATAGTTTTCCAGACCAACCAGGTAGTGAAATTAAAGAGTCACTGGCAGAGGAAGTTATATTGCTGCTACGACCACGATTACTTAGCTAGCTGTACTATCCTTTCTTCGTGGATTGTTTCTGGCTCTGATCTAAACTCAAGATATAATATATAAGATAACTCAAGTCTAAAAGGTGGGTCATGATTATCCAAATTTTCATCACTAGGCGCGAAGTCTTCAATCTCCGATTCGTTTAATTATTTAGAAACATCTTCATCTCGTAAAACTATAATAAATAGAAATAAGTACTTTAAAACAAAATACTTCAATTTTCTGAAATACTATTACTTAACTGACTAACGCCCAATGACTTCACATAATACCAAATAAAAAATGACTGTAATTGTAACTACTGCCCGTGTGATTGTTCGATCACATGTTTTTTTTAAATCAAAATTATTTTTTATGCACAGCAGTATATGGAAAAATAATACAATATTTATGTGAAACAAAATCTAAATTTCATGATTATAGATGATATGTTGGAAAAATAAACGGATTTATTAAATAAATCGAGATAAAAACTCACCATGACGACGCGTGGACTCCAAGTTGCCTCAATTCAGTTTAAAATAAAGATCTATCTGTGGTTGGTTGCCTACTTATTCTTGACCCAAATGTTGCTAGCAAAAGGGCCAATCAGTGACGTCTAATAAGAAATACAAAACCCACGAATTTTTTACTCTAGGAACAAAAATATAATTTGTCCTCAGTGAATGACAGCGAGCGGTATTTTTGATGACAATAGTTTTCGTATTGGGCCGAAACGAATAAATTATGGAGTACTTCTCTAATCAAATTGGGCCTTACGAGGTTAAAACAAGATTACAAAAACTAATGAACAACAACAAACTAAAAATAGACAACAGTGTCTGAAAACTGAGCGATGCGCATCCCAAGATGGAATGTTATTCGTTCGTTATTTAAAAATTATTAATTACGTCATTCAAACGGTGGTAGAGCCTTGCAGCAGCTTTTGCTGTTGCACGTATGGGCCGGCTCGAGCCGGGTTAGTACCACGACCTCACAGAATACCGGCGTGAAGTGGAAGCTCTGCTTCCGCGTTTCGTCTGGTGAGTGCAGGTGACCGGATGCCCAATTCCCCCCCCCCCCCCCCATCAACATGGTAGCGGAATTACGTCAAAAACTACCCCAGGAGGGTACCAGTACCCCTGGAGAATCCCTCGCTGAGCATCCACGACCATGCTATTCCACTCCTGAGCGTGGGTGCTCAGGCTGCCCCGCGTATTCTGGGGGGGGCAAAATTCCGCTCAACACAATAACTGCTCGGGGCAAACTGAGCAACAAGACCAAGGCGACCCCTGCCACGCTATCCGTGAATTTCTGCAACATCAGGGGACTTCACTCGAACCTAAACGCCGTCCACTACCATCTTGAGACGGCGAAGCCGGCCTTGCTCTTTCTGACCGAGACGCAGGTGTCCTCTCCGGCTGATACTTCGTATCTCTCCTACCCGGGGTACAAATTGGAGCACTCCTTTGTGCCTCGGGCTGGAGTTTGCGTGTATGTCAGAGAGGACATCTGTTCTCGACGCCTCGGCAGTCTTGAAGGTTCGGACCTGTCCATCCTTTGGCTACGCGTAGACAGCGACGACCATCCGCGCGCCTACGTGTGCCTCTATAGGTCCCATAGCGGTAATGCCGAAACAGACCGACTCATCGACCACGTCCAAATGGCTACAGATTTCTTGCTACAACAGGTCCCATCCGCAGAGATCGTGATCCTTGGCGATTTTAACGCCCACCACGCCGAATGGCTCGGTTCACGTTTAACCGATCATGCGGGGAGATCTGTTTATGACTTTGCCTTGGCATATGGTCTGACACAACTGGTTACATCGCCTACGCGGATTCCAGATGTTGAGGATCATACACCTTCCCTGTTGGACCTTCTGCTGACCTCTCATCCGGACGGATATCAGGTTTCCGTCGATGCCCCTCTTGGCTCTTCGGACCATTGTCTGATCCGGAGTGTGGTGCCACTCACGCTCCCCTCGCGGTTGCGTTCTGCAGGTTGCCGCCGTGTTTGGCATTACAGGTCGGCGGATTGGGACGGAATGCGGTCTTTCTTTGCTTCCTACCCATGGGGGCGGGTTTGCTTCTCGCCGGATGATCCCAGCGCTGTTGCTGACTCTGTCACTGATGTAGTGCTACAGGGAATGGAACTATTTATTCCATCATCTGTGGTACCCATCGGAGGCAGATCTCAGCCTTGGTTTGGTCGCTCCTGTAAGACTGCATTACGCAGTAAGCTGGAGTGTTATCAAGCCTGGGCTGCGGCTTCGGTGACTCGGGATGTAAACACCAGCACACTCAAAAAGAAGTATAACTTCGCCTCCAGGTCCTTCAAAAGAGTTATTGCCAAGGCAAAGTCAGAGCACATAGGCAGAATTGGCGAGAAACTAGTTCGCCTTCCTTCGGGAACCCGTGCATTCTGGTCTCTCGCCAAGGCTGTCCAAGGGAATTTCTGTAAGCCATCACTACCATCTCTGCACAGGGAGGACGACTCACTGGCCCACGACGCAAAAGAGAAGGCCGACCTTTTAGGCTCCCTTTTTGCGTCCAACTCGACTGTTGATGACGGGGGGAACACACCGCCGACCATCCCGCGGTGTGAGTGCTCCATGCCGGATGTGCGATTCTCACAGCGCTCGGTTCGCAGAGCACTCCTCTCCCTTGACATCCACAAGTCGAGTGGGCCTGACGGAATCCCCCCAATTGTGCTGAGGACGTGTGCTCCGGAGTTGGCACCGGTTCTAACGCGTCTTTTCCGGTACTCTTACTCCCTAGGCGTAGTCCCGAAATCATGGAAGACAGCTTTTGTCCACCCGATCCCTAAAAAAGGCGACCGCTCAGATCCGTCCAACTACAGGCCTATCGCCATCACCCCCTTGTTCTCTAAAATAATGGAATCCGTTGTAAACTGCCACCTCATGCGGTACCTTGAGGATCACCAGCTGATTAGTGACCGCCAGTACGGTTTTCGTCGGGGTCGATCAGCTGGTGATCTTCTGGTCTACTTAACTCATAGATGGGCGTTGGCAGTAGAGTCCAAGGGGGAGGCATTGGCCGTTAGTTTGGACATTGCGAAGGCCTTCGATCGGGTTTGGCACAAAGCGCTTCTTTCGAAGCTCCCTTCCTATGGGCTTCCCGAGAAATTATGCAATTGGATCACCAGCTTTCTTGCAGATCGGAGCATCAAGGTCGTTGTAGACGGTGCATGCTCCGACTACAAGCCTATTAACGCTGGTGTTCCACAAGGCTGCGTGCTATCACCAACGCTGTTTCTTCTGCATATCAATGATATGTTGCAAGCTGGTAGCATTCATTGCTATGCAGATGACAGCACTGGTGATGCTCTATACACCGGCCGTGCCAATATTTCTCGGGAAAACGTCACCGAGTACCGGAACAAACTTGTGTCTGAAGTCGAGTCTTTGCTGGACAAAGTCTCGGATTGGGGGCGACTAAATCTAGTCCAGTTTAATCCTCAGAAGACACAAGTTTGCGCGTTTACCGCTAAAAAGAACCCCTTTGTCGTATCTCCTCAGTTTCAAGGTACTCCCCTTGTTGCCTCAGCCAGTATCGGAATCCTCGGCGTCGACATATCGAGTAGCGTGCAGTTTCGTGGTCACTTGGAAGAGAAGGCCAAATTGGCCTCTAAAAAGCTTGGCGTGCTCAGCAGAGCGGGACAGTATTTCATGCCGGCTCAACGCCTGCAACTTTACAAGGCGCAGGTTCGGCCTCACATGGAATACTGTTCCCATCTCTGGGCTGGGGCTCCCCAGTGCCAGCTTCTTCCACTTGACCGCATCCAGCGCAGAGCGGCTCGAATCGTCGACGACCGAGTCCTTTCCGATCGGCTCGACTCATTGGCACTGCGAAGAGATGTTGCATCTCTTAGCATTTTCTTTCGCATTTACCATGGGGAGTGCTCTGAGGAATTGTTCGGATTAATCCCAGCCGCCAAATTTCACGAACGCACATCGCGGCAGAACTCCCGATACCATCCACACCATCTGGATGATTGGCGGTCCACCACTGTGCGATTTAGAAGATGTTTTCTTCCTCGCACAACTTCCTTGTGGAATAGTTTACCACCAGCGATTTTTCCGGACCGATACGACTTAGGGACCTTCAAGAAAAGAGCCTACTCCTTTTTAAAAGGCCGGCAACGCATCTGCAATTCCCCTGGTGTTGCGGTTGTTCATGGGCGGCGGTAGTCACTTACCATCAGGTGAGCCGCATGCTCGTTTGCCCCCTCTCCTATAAAAAAAAAAAAAAAAAAAAAAAAACGTCAAGCAAGCCAAGGATTTTCAGTCGTGACTCAAGGCCAACGAAAAACCACATACAAACAAGAACAAACCTTACAGTCTCAGGTAAAAGGTTTACAATCCCTGAGGATGGCGGCCATTGCATCTGTGCGAGCAAGACGCATTATATCTACGCGGGAGTGACAGAGACAGGCAATAACAAGTTAAAGTACGAAATTCTTCCTACTTCGCGTCCGGACTTTAGATGTAATCGAACGAATCCGAACGAATTGCCATCAGTTTTATCTTATTTGTTAGGAGAACTAGTACCTACTTTATCGCTACCGCATTTTGTTAATTGAATTATTATTCATTATTGACCATTTATTTTTGTTTAAAATTAAATTATATATAATAGCTATTTTATAAAATAATTATGAATCGTAATAAAATGTTTTATTTCTGTCATTTATCATGTCCAAGCGCTGCACAATGTGACGCATCAACATATTGTGAAGCAGTATACTATGAAGAATAATTATTATAATATAATATTGTGACTTCAGGCTCAGAAGAGCTAGATCCCAGAGCCGTAAAGCCAGTTATTAAGATGATTTGGTTTGGCAGCTGTCAAAGTGTCAAATCAAAAATAAAATAAATATAGGTAATAGGGACATATAGGTAGGCGTTTACTATATTATCTCAAATTCAATGTTTTTGTTGGAATGTAATTAATATTTTATTAATTTTATATTCTATCACAAAACCTTATATTGCTCAACCAATTGCATTTTATGAGTATACGTGCTAGTATTTATTTCAGTCCAGAATATTATAAAAGACTCGTCTTTAATAATATTCTGGACAAAAAGCCATATGTTTTAGATTTCGGAAAAGATTTGTGGGATTACCCAGAGATGAGTTGATTCGTCAACGTGTATTTATTATTTAGCTCATATATGAGCGGTTTCGATCTGTTATTATGTTATACTCGTCTTACTCGGGCTTGTTAGAGTTCGATCACTACGAGAACGACGATTCTGAGAGGAACAAGGTGAGTCATAGTTTTGTAAACCTTAATATTGACTGCTTACTCGCACTCCTACATTCAGTGCCGTATGCTAAAGCAGCTGAAGCAAAGCTATTCATCGAATTATAAGTGTTACTTGTCCTGCTTTGTTCTGACCTTGTCTTATTGTTCTGTGATAAGCTTCTTAGTGTCATAATTTCACATTTGACTGAAAGTAGAGGTAAGAGTTTTATTACTATGTTTTAAGATTGAATTGTCCTACAATTGTGCTTTGTTGAATCAGAACCTTGTCTGATATTATACTAGCTTGTGTGAAAAAAATGTGTTTTAAATTGATTCTTGCCTTTCATTAACTACATGGTTTTGGAATATGATACCAATTAATGTAATAAAGAATCGGCTATATGGACCAACAACAATATATGAAAATATTAATAAATGTATTATTTAAAAGATATTTAACATTAAATAACATATTTTATGTTATAGAATTTATTTATATGATAACATAAAAATTAATATTGTAAAGTAATAAAAAATAAACTTGAGTTTTGAATTTAAACTACTGTTCATATAAGTTAATAGTAGAGTGAAAGATAAGTCTTTTATTAACTAGGTTGCTTGGTACTTGTAAGGTATCATCAGTACAATTTGTATTTCTACTGAAGATACATTACCAGTTTACTGCAAGTATGACATCTTGGTTTGTCCAGGAATAATAATTATTTGTAGTGAAGTCAGCATCTTCTCTAACATTACTCTTCATAATATGTAATATCAATAGCTCAGTTGGCACAATTTATGATCAACATGTAAAATTATGGCTTCTTGCAAATATTGTGTTTATGAGTAATCTAATATCAAAAGCTTAAGATAATTTGGGATCGACGGGTTGATATGATATCACGGCTATTTCCAGACTGCATAACTAACTCTTTACTTATATTAAATATTGTAACAGAAACATTCAACCAAATCATATAATTATGATTTATATAATATGATAAGTAGTTTAGATTCATGTAAGGAAAATATATTTGAAAGGGACGAAGAGAGAACGAAGTGTGAAATATGGGTAAATCAGGAATGTCTAGAACAGGTAAATGAAATTGTATACTTGGGGAGTGCTTTTAGCCGGGATGGAAGATGTGATTGTGATGTGGACAGGCGTGTCGCTGCCGGGAACAAAGTCAATGGTGCCCTGACTGCGTTAGTCAAAAGGCAAGGCGTAGCGAAGAGTGCACGCCTTGCAATACATAACGCAGTGTTGGTACCGACTTTGTTATATGGCAGCGAAACCTGGGTATGCCAGAAGAAGCATAAAAGTAAGTTGAATGCAGTGGAGATGCGATCTCTTCGTAAAATGTGCGGCGTTACTATGGCCGACCGAAAGCGAAACGAAGAGATTCGCAATATGGCAGGTTTGAAAGATGACCTTATCACAAAAATTGATAAGGGCGTGCTTCGGTGGTTTGGGCACGTTGAGCGAATGAGTGAAGACCGAATGGTGAAGAAAATATATAGCGCGAAAGTTAATATTAAAAGGTGTCGAGGTAGACCGAGACTAACTTTCGAAGACCATGTGAGCAAATTGCTCGAAGAGGGTAGGGTCAAGAGTACTCGGATACCTAGACGTGCATGTATGAAGAAGATAATGAATCTGAAAGAAGCGAAAGAGATATGTAAGGATCGTGACACTTGGCGATCTGTTCTCTCTGGCTACCCCGTCAGGGATTGTGCGTGAAGATAAGTAAGTAAGTAAGTAAGTAAGGAAAATATTATTTTTCTGGATTTCTGAACTGATATTATTGTATTACTGTGAAATTATACTCTGACAGTAAATGAACAAGTGAAATTTTAAAAAATTATGTATTTAAATAATTTAATATATCACATTTTTTTTAACATTGTCATTGACATAGCAAAGGCCTTCAGTTGGGTTTGGCATAAAGTGTTTCTTTCAAAGCTTCCTACTTATGGGCTTCCCCAGAAATCACACAATTGGGTCACCAGTTTTCTTACAGATCGGAGTATTAAGGTCGTAGTCGATGGTGCATGCTCCGATTCCGAGCCTGTGAATGCTGGTGTACCACAAGGCTGTGTGCTATCGCCTACCCTATTCCTTCTGCATATCAATGATATGTAGGATACTAGTAACATTCATATGCAAACGACAGCACTGGCGATGTTTTGTACACCACTCGTGTTAATATTTCTCAGGTACACGTCTTCGAGTGCCGGAACAAACTTGTGTCTGAAGCCGAGTCTATAAGCTTTACCTTAGTCTACGCGCGTTTACCGCAAACAAGAACCCCTTTGTCGTATCTGCTGGATTTCAGGGCACTCCTCTCGTTGTCTCAGGCAGCATCGGAATTCTTGGGGAAGCTAAACTGGCATCAAAAAAGCTTGGTGCTCTCGCGGTATTTCTTGCCGGCCCACCGATGGCAGCTTTACAAAGCGTAGGTTCGGCTTCATATGGGAATACTGTTCTCATCTCTGTGCCGCGGTATCCCAGTATTAGCTCCTTCCACTTGACCGTATTCAACGGAGAACGGCATAAATCGTCGACGATCAAGTTCTTACCGATCGACTTGATCCACTGGCCGCCCATGCGAAGAGACGTTTCATCTCTATGCATCTTCTACCGCATATATCACAGGGAGTCATCATCATCATCATTACAGCCCTTCACAAGTCCACTGCTGAACATAGGCCTCCCCCAAGGAATGCCACAAAGCACGGTCCATCTGGGGCCCGTATATTAATGTCATTGCTCATGGGGGGTATATTGCCATAGTTGCCATGCTTGGCGAGCGGGTTGGTAACCGCAGTTTTTTTATTGTTGGTTTGCTGTTATCAGAAAGATGCTGCTGCCCATCCTCTGCCTCAGTTTCCCTCTGTCGCCTCTTACGACACCCACGGGAAGATATGGGGTAGTGAGTATTCTTATCCGCCACTACACGGGGATCACAGGGAGTGATGAGAGGAATTCTTCGGATTAATTCCAGCTGCTGAATTCCACCATCGTACACTGCGACAGATCACATAATTCCATCCTCATAATGTCGATGGCTGGCGGTCCACTACTGTGCGATTAACGCGCAATTTTCTGCCTAGCTCGACCAAACTGTAGAATTTACTGTCTTCGACGGTTTTTCTGGACCGATACAACTTAGGGACCTTCAAGAAAAGAGCCTATTCCTTCTTAAAAGGCCGGCAACGAACCTCGCAATTTTCCTGCTGTTGCGGATGTTCATGGTCGACGGTGTTCACTTATCAGCAGGTTGTGCTGTTCACAGGCATGCTCTTACAGAACAATCTGGCAAAAAATTACAAATTGCTCCATGCCTGGAGCATCTTTTAGTGACATCCTAAATAAAATAATATAGTTACAAAATATTGTCCAAACAGTATAATAATAATTTTTGTTGGTAGAAGAAGCAGTGTAAACAACAAACAGTTATTAAGATCTGGTCGAGCCCCGACGGTTCGACAAAAAATGAGATTAACTTCATTATGACGACAAGACGACAACTGTTCAGTGATGTCTTAGTGATCGCGAGGGTGGAAACTGGTAGCGATCACCGGATGGTTAGAGGCAAACTGAACCTAAACGTTAAGTTGGAGAGGTCTCGTCTAATGAAGTCAACGCTCCGTCCCCTCATGATCTTATCCAGAGTCCCGAAACCTTTCAGCTCGAGCCATAAAACCGTTTTAAGTGCCTAGAAGATTGCAATGCAGTGGACGATATCTTCCACTGCATTGCAATTCATATGAATGACAAGCTCGTTGAAACTGTCCATGCAGTCGGAATTAAGTTCGGCAAGACCCGTCGCAGTAGAACACAAAAACTCTCCGATTACACTCTTATTCTCATGGCTGTTAGACGAGAAATCAAGCTGTAGTCTTCAGCAGATTTGACAGCGTACAGGCAACTGAAAAGACAGATCTCCAAATGCATGCGACGGGACTTACGCAATTTCAATACAGCACGTATTGAAGAAGTGATCGAGCGTAACCAGGGCTTCAAAGTCTTTGCTAGAGATCTGTCCGCCAGACAGAGCCAATTGTCGAAGCTTAAGTCCGAGTGTGGGTGTGGCAGCGTCGTTTCCGGGATACCTGAGATTTTGAGTGAGACAGAGGTTCTACGGGCAGCTATACACATCATCGTTGGAGCCACACGCAGGTGTGGGTAACGATCCAAAAGCAAGTTCTATCCGTCACTATTCCGATGATATTCCGGACGTCAGTCTGAGAGCGAGATTATAATGGCTCTCCAGCACCTTAAAAACGGCAAGGCCCCAGGCGAGAATGGAATTACAGTGGAGCGTGAAGCGGGTGGAAAACCGGTACTTGAAGTCCTTCAGAAGCTCTTTAATTCCGTCCTCCATGGTGGCACTACACCAGAGGCGTGGAGCAGAAGTGTGGTGGTCTTGTTCTTCAAGAGAGGCAACAACGCTTTCTTGAAGAACTACAGACCGATTTCCCTTCTGAGCCGCGTCTATGTGCTGTTTTCGAGAGTCATTACAAATCGTCTCGCACGCAGACTCGACAACTTCCAGCCTCCCGAACAAGCTGGTTTTTGAACAGTCTTTAGCACCATAGACCACATACATACCCTTCGGCAAATTGTACAAAAGTTCGAGGACTATAATTTGCCACTGTCTGGCGTATGTGGACTATGAGAAAGCCTTGGATTCCGTCGAAATTTGGGCGGTGTTGCAGTCCCTTCAGCGGTGCCATGTTGACTGTCGGCACATCGAAGTGCTGAAGTGTTTGTACAGTAGGGCTACGATGGCTATCCGAGTACAGAACCAGAGTACAAATCCTATCCAACTGCAGACAGGTGTAAGACAGGGTGACGTTATATCGCCGAAACTCTTTACCGCGCTGCATCGGAAGACGTTTTCAAGCTACTGGGCATCACTCGTCACTCACATTCGATTTGCCGATGATATAGTCCTTATGACAGAATCGCTGGAGGACCTAAGCACTATGTTCAACGACCTCAATAGTGTCTCCCAACGTATAAGTCTTAAGACAAAACAAAAGTCATGTGTAACGTCCAAGTCACACCTATGCCGGCAGTTGTTGGGAGCACTAAGTTCGAAGTTGTTGACGAGTATGTTTACCTGGGACAAATAGCCCGACTAGGTAAGTCCAGCGCCCGAGAGGTCAATCGACGAAATTACAGGATATCATTCTCGTCAGGTATACCTCAAAACTTAAAAACTAGACTGTACAACCAGTTGCCAGTAATGACCTATGGAACTGAAACGTGGTCTTGAACTGAATTTGGATTGAAATTAGGATGTTTTTTAATTTCAATAGCCTTGCGAATCTTCTTTTGTAGGAATAGGTGTTCTTGTGCGAGGATTTGTGGTCTATCAATTCTTATGTAATGGCGGGGATGATTTTGAACATGTTTGCAAACTGTAGATTTCCAGGAGGTCGGTGTTTCGCATCAGCTGTATGTTCTATGACGCCCGAAACGTGGTAAAATTAGTTTTATTAATTCTTCGTCCCGTTCTTTGTCGGTTCGTTACAGTGTACGAGCCACTTCCGTTATAGGATTTGCCTTCATTGTCACGCTCGGCAAGCGAAACTATCGCGTCGTAGATCTTGCTATTTTAGTTCTGACGTATAGGTTAGAAGGTATAAACAAGATCAATAATATTATCTACTTGTGGAGGTTTACGATAAAAGTTGAACATCGCTTGATAAAACAACATAAGAGCTTAATTATATCTTTATATCTATACAAACCTATGTGCGTTAGTATAGATATATCCTCCCCGGCTTCGCACGGTTGATTTATGGATATCGACAACAAGGCCACCTACCGGATCCAATGGTGAATCTAAGTCATTCTCTAAACAACTTATCGCACACAAACTTTCATCAAAATCGGTCCAGCCGTTTAGGAGTTCAGTCACATACACACGGACAGATGAATAACATAATATATAATGTATGTGTATTATACATATAAGGCTGCGTTTCCACCAGAGATGTGCGAAGTAGCTGGGTGGTGCGAGGATGTGTAGGGAGGCTGTGTAGTTAGGCAGATGATCAGATCGTTTTAGATGCGAGCGGGAGAGGTGTGGTGGGAGCGGTGCGCGAGCAACACTGCCCGCTACTTCTTGCGTCCTTCCTTAGCACACATCCCTCGCAACACGCCACTCGCACACATCCCTCGGGATACATTCCTCGCACACATCCTTCCCTTGAGCCGTTTCCACTAGAGTTGCGCTTAGCGAGGCTTGGGTAAATGAAATGATTCTATTGGTTCTTAACAAACACATGCCTTGCCACGCATCCTCGCACATCTCTGGTGGAAGCGCAGCCTTAACGTTCCCCTTGAATCATTCTGGCTATTCATAAAAACCGCATCAAATCCGTTGCGTAGTGTAAAAGACCAAAGCGTACAGACCGCGGGAAGCGTCTTCGTTGTATACTAAGTATACGAGATATAAAAAAGAGATAAATAAAATTGAAGTGTCTGTCTGTGATATTGAAATAACTGGCTTCTATTAAGCTTAGGGAGTTATTTAAGACTAATATTTTTTTGAAGTTTATTGAAGATTATTCTGAAAAATAGATGGGTAGTAAAATCTGACGTTAACAAGTGAAGCCGTTATGGTTTTCCTCTGCGCAACATAGTCGCGCATCTCATAGGGCGAAATGAATAATCTAATATAAGTAATATATATTTATATGTAATATTTGTATGACCTACAAATAATTGTACCTGGTCTGGATTTTTGTCTTTGTGAAATTTATACGTGTTAGAGTCACGCTGCAACCATATCATCAAAATGGTTCTGGTGTTATGAAGTAATTAACAAATACTATATTTATGGACCAAAATGAGAATATACACAAATTGAATAAAACTAATTTTACGAATTTAATCGTGTTTAATTTTAACTTATTTGATTCCCAACGTTTAGGGCACTTTCCAGCACCCATGGTCACGGCGGGACCGACGGGTTTGACGTTCCGATGTCATAGTTAACGCAAGCTACCTTCACCTTTTAATTATGAATTTTTGGTTCGATCTACGCAGGACGAGCTTACAGTACCTTAAAGTCTTGCAGTAGTATGCTTGGGTTTGGATTTAATTTTATTAATTATGAGATCCCAAGCATTTGGTAGTACCCAGCCATCTTCTCTATTGAAATTAGGATGTTTTTTTATTTCAATAGCCTCGCGAATCATCCTTGGTAGGAATCGGTGTTCTTTTATGAGGATTTGTGGTCTATCAAATCTGATATAATGGTTGAGACGATCCTGAACATGTTGACATACAGCAACTTCCCGGAGCGTCGGTGTTTCACATCAGCGAAGTGTTCTTTCACGCGGGTTTTTATGGATCTTTTTGTTTGTCCTATGTAAGACACTCCACATTCACAATCAAGCTTGTACACTCCTGCATCTTGTAGAGGGATATTACTGACACTTGACGGATGATAAGAAGTGACTAATCTTCTTCGGCGGCTTGTAGAATGTTCTTATTAAAGCCCTCTTCAAGATGGTGGTACAGAAGGCACACGTTCGACTGTGGCCAGTTTTACTCGGTCACTGTGACGGAGGCGCAGGACCCGAAGCTTGTCATGCAAAACTTGCTTGACGTGTTGGAGCTCAGCGGCCAGGAGTTTACTGTCACAGATCCCTTGTGCTCTCTGAAACAAAGACTTTACCACGGTAGCTAACTCTGTAGGATGGTGGTGGGATTAACCGTTTAAATATTGGTTAGTATGGGTATTTTTTCTATACACAGTATGACTGATGTTGTTATCAGGATTTCGAATGACTAAAACATCTAGGATAGCTAAAGAATTATTTGCTTCTAAGTCCACAGTGAATTGAATTTTAGAGTTTATGGAGTTAAGGTGATGTAAGAATGCAGTAACTCTGATGGTAAAATTGTGAAAAAAAAAAGAAAACCGTCTACTTGCATGTAGAACTCTTCCTTCCACAATAGATAGCCTGATTTGAGGCAATGTCTGAGTAGTGCTGCTTATTCCGCAGGCATGTAGTTTTCTTCTAGCTTCCTAGTCACAATTGAGATGCAATCTTTAATAGTTAGGCATGTAAATAGTGACTGAACTTCAAAACCGACCTGACTGTTTCATTGTCAGCAAGATGTAGGTCATTTATCTCACTGAAAAAAATGGTATGAATCCTTTCGATGTGCTCTTGCGTGTCCAGTATTTGTGCTAAGTTTTGAACCAATTTATACGTTCAATTTGGCCAACTATGGGACGTAACGCTATAAAATCCGTAAAATTAGTGTTATTCCATGTGTAGTATTCGCGTAAATATATGATATCATTAAATATACACAAATGTTCACGATATATGAGAAAGCTCCAAGTCGCTAAGCGAGCTATGGAGAGAGCTATGCTCGCAGTTTCCCTGCGTGAGAGACTTAAAAACGAGGATATCCGAAATAGAACCAGAGTTACCGTCATAGCCTAACGGATCAGTAAACTGAAGTGAGAATAGGCCATGTAGCTCGAAGAACCGACAATCGATGGGGAACAAAGGTTCTCGAGTGGCAGCCTAGTCGAGGCTGGTAAGAGGTGCATGAAGTTGCCAACAAAGCACGTCCCGAAGACAGTCCTTACTGCCGCCAGTACCGTCGCAGTGCTGTCACGGTGTCTCGGGTTCACATCCGAGTCATCGTCCTCCTCGGGGATCACCCACAAAGCCATTCCTAATAATGTAATAATGTTAATAGTATTTATATTATTCTCACCACATCCCAGACTGTACTATAATTATTTGTTCAGGGGGACCCTAAACATAACGGTCCCATCATGAGCATGATAATCACATTAACTGCGGTGGGGGCAATACTGGTGGTAGCGATCTGCATAGCATGCTGTTGCCGGGGACGGAACCGCGGGCGGGTGCTATCGCGTGAGTACCAATCTTATACTTTTTAACCTGATACTTTTAAACCTAATAAATTAACGTGGTAGAGCCATACTGCAGCCATATTAATAGTATAGTTGTAGCACGAATGGGTCGGCTCGACCGGGGAAGGTCCACGCTCTCACAGAATATTAGCGTAAAATAGCAGCTTGATGCTGCTGTTTCGTATGGTGAGTGTAGAGAACCGGAGACCCATTTTACTGGAAATGGAGCATTCTATCTTAGTCCTCACGGCTGACAACGCATCTGCAACGCATTTTAATTTGCAAACGAAGTTAGATGTAGATGTCTATGGGCCACAGCAACCACTTACCATCAGGTGGACTGTGTGCTCGTTTGTCAGCCTTATTCTATATAAAAAAAATATATTTTTAATCTAATACTTTTTACAATTTATACTTGCGATACCATCACTTTTGTGATTTGGATAAACATTTACGTACTAGTTTCACAATATTTATTTTATATTATTAATACATATACTAATTATAAAAACTTACCGGCATCATCAGGGTACATAAGAGTGATAATACTTTTAACCTAATACTTTTTAACCAAATATTATATATATATATATATATATATATATATATATATATATATATATATATATTTCTATTTATAAATGTAATAGAATTATACGTGGTAGAGCCATGCTGCAGCTATGTATATTCTGGTTGTAGTACCAATTGGTTGGCTCGATCGAGGAAGGACCACGCCTTCACAGAATAGCAGTTAAAATAGCAGCTTAACACTGCTGTGTTTGGTATGGTGAGTGTACAGAACCGGAGACCCTTTTTACTGGAAACGAGGCATTCCATCTTAGTCCTCAGGAGTGGCAACGCATCTGTATTTTGATCCTCCACGGATGATAGATGTAGATGTACGAGTATAACGGGCCACGGCCCACGGCATGCACTTACCATCAGGTGGTCTGTGTGTTCTTTTGGCACTAAGCTTTACTGTCTGACTACCTCTTTCGCCTAGTGGTTATAAGTTTTTTTTAAATGTTTGTTATACAAAAATACATTCGGTTATTTCTTACACTACTTTCGCCAAACTGCAGGGCAGTTTGTTGGTGAATACATCACCCACTTACATTCTATGTACCTACTGTAATTAATAAATTAATCTTGAACTTACAACTTAAAATAGAAGAAAATAAAATAACAATAAAAAACTGTTCATCATGACATCCTGGTTCGAATTCCGGGTCGTGCCGAAAGAAATGAGCTAAGGGGTTTTTATGTCAAGACAATCCCAGTAGCAACCCAGAATCAGGAAGTTGGCCGTAAAGCACATAAAGCCGTTAGTACTGCGCCTGATTCTCCGGTCGGACTTCGAGAGGGTCGAGACACACCCAAACCCGCTAGTAGTAAAAGCAGCCAGCTACGCTCCGACTCCGAACGTTACGCTAACCCTCCGGTGTCCCCGCAACGTTCTAATCGAACCCCCTGTTCTGCTAGATGCCGACGATCAAAATCTCGCAGGCCAGTTGCACCCAAACACTACACATTCACCTAGTGCCACAAACACTGATAGGACAGCAACGGATGGGACGCAGAGAGTCCGCAGACGGGCGCGCCGCACACCCCTCCACACCGCGTACAGACCATTTTTTTTTTATAGAAATAGGGTGACAAACGAGCACACAGCCCACCTGATGGTAAGTGGTTGCTGAGGCCCATAGACATCTACATATCTCCTCGCTTGCGAATCAAAATGCAGATGCGTTGTCACCCGTGAGGACTAAGATGGCATGCCTCCTTTCAGGGAAAAAGGGTCTCCGGTTCTCTACACTCACCATTCGAAACACAGCAGCATTAAGCTGCTGTTTTACGCTGGTATTCCGTGAGAGCGTGGTTCTTCCCCGGTGGAGCCGACCCATTCGTGCTACAACTATACTATAAATATAGCTGCAGCTTGGCTCTACCACGTTTATAACATATACACCCGCGTCTCGATACGAGTTAGCCATCAGAGACGGAGCCCGCCAGCCCCTGTTCGGACGGCGGATAGAAAACTCACCCATCTCATGATGTGTTTTTCAGCGGCATCATAATCTCCCCCTCCCCTTTTTTATAAGCCCTCAGGGCTTCAATGAATCTGTAAGAGCCGCATAGGGTAACATCTTTAACATCACAGAAACTAGACGTGTCGGACTATGAGAATGTGAGAATAAAGAGTGCACTTGAGCTTGCGCATGCACTCGGGCTCTATAACCCTGTCCCTGGCTAGTCTCGGTTGGGACTGGCTGCCGTGACCGCAATCGGTATCGAGGATATTTACTATATTACGGACTATTGGTTCGTGAATGGCGTTGCTTTACTAACTACTTAAATATTCGTTAACTATTCAAGACTACACAAGACATTATGGTCAATTTTATAATCTGAAAAAAAAAATAGTCAACGAAGCAGCATCTTGTTTCAGTTAACGCAAGTTAAAGAAAATAAAGCATTCAAGCTTTATTTTCTTTAACTTGCGATCACGGTCACTTAAAATTGTTAAACCTGAGGTTACTGTATTGTATGAATGTTAGCGACGATCGACAACCGTGTGGTCTAGATTTTTTCATAAGACAATGGTGGCAAACGAGAGTAAGTGGATGCTGTAATCCATACACATCTACATTTATCCTCGATTAAGAATCAAAATGCAGATGCGCTGTCACCGCTAAGGACAAAGATGGGATGGCTCGTTTAAAGTAAAAAGAATCTCCGTTTCATTACACTCACCATACGAAACACAACAGCATAATGCTACCATTTTACGCTGATATTCTGTGAGAGCGTTGGTCTTTCCCCAGTCGAGCCGACCCCATCGTGTTACAACTATAAAATAGCTGCAGCATGGCTCTATTATATAAAATCTGTCGCGGTTCATGGATTCAAATCCCAACATCGTTTAAGTTGGATGTTAAGCTTTTACTTTCCATTGCCGTTTTACATGCAGTAATTTAAATGTGTCTTATAAAACCGTCGATGTATGTTGTAATTTCTTATCGCAGCACCTCCCGCGGCGCCCCCGGCCCCCGCGCCTTATCCACAACAGCAATACACGCCTTACCCACAACAGGAGTACGCTTACCCAGGTAATGACTTATTTTTTTACTAATTTATACTACATTACACAAAATTATATATAATGGGAGTATTAAGCTCGAAGTTGTCGATGAGTTTCAGACTTTTAATTAAATTACAACACATCTTTTAGTCAGGTATACCTGAAAACCTGAAAACGAGATTGTACAACCAGTGCGTGTTACCAGTGATGACTTATGGATCTGAGACATGGTCCTTCACTGTTGGCCGTATGAGGAGGCTCAAGGTCGTTCAGCGAGCTATGGAGAAAGCTCGGTTTTTCTCTGCTTGATAAACTTAGAATGAGAATATCCGCAGTAGAAGTAAGCTGAAGTGGCAATGGGCCGACCATATAGCTCGAAGAACCGACAACCGATGTGTAGAAAGGTTCTCGAGTGGCAACCTCGTACCGGTAAACGAAGTGAAGGGAAACCCCCCACTAGATGGAGTGACGACCTGGTAAGACATGCCGGAAGTCGATGGATACAGGTGGCTCAGGACCGTGCTTTGTGACATTCCTTGGGGGAGGCCTATGCTCAGCAGTGGACTTGTGAAGGGCTGCAGTGATGATTTTGACATTATTTTAATTTTATGCAATATTTACGCATCTTATCCAACAATCGTCACTTTATCAGAAAGACAACTACTGGATGGAGGACTTTATGCAATTATTCGTCACGGTTGACTGTCGAATTGGCGGCCGCAATGCTAGAAGTCTTACGTTTGACCCTGTTCATCGTCATGGTTCGGAGATTACAACGCCTTAAGAGTTCTATGCGTTTTTTTTTTATAAACGAATTGAATACGCTTAAAAAATATTGAATACGAGGGCGGCACTAAAAATTTCGGTAATCAAGGAAGTGACACAACATTACTATTTAAAAATGTATTTATTGCTTTTCGAAGTATTCTCCGCGAAATTTGACACATTTTTCCATACGATGGAACCAATCATTGAAGCAACCATTCCATTCGGAAGTTGGGGTCTCCAAAATGGCCGTTTTGTAGGCGTCCACAGCTTCTTCAGGTGATGAATATCTCTGTCCACGCAATTTATTCTTTATTTTAGGGAAAGTATAGAAATCATTAGGGCTTAGGTCGGGGCTGTACGGCGGATGGTCTAATAATTCTATGTTTTCTTGCTCTAAAAACTCTTTTGTTCTGTGTGCGGTGTGAGAACTCACATTGTCGTGATGGAGGATGATGCGGCGGTTGCAGTTCTCTTTACGAAGTTCAGAAACGACCTGTGGCAAACAAATGCTAGCATACCATTCTGCATTAACAGTTGTTTGTCCCTCAAGAGGAACAGTCGTAACATGGCCGATTTTGGAGACAAACGTGGCCACAATTTTTTTTGCAACACTCCGTGAACGAACAATTTTTGTGGGCTTTAACTCATTTTCGAACACCCAATCTCGTGACTGGTTTTTTGTTTCGGGTTCGTACGCGTATATCCAGGATTCGTCACCTGATACGATGTTGTCTACAGCATTTGAGGATCCTGCGTGGAATCTTTCGAGAGGTCTGACGCACCAAGTAACGCTAGCCGCTTTTTGCTCTTCACAGAGCGAATGCGGTATCCAACGTGAAAACAACTTTTTTATACCTAATTGTTCATGCAAGATTATTTGTATTTGACTCATGCCAATGTCTAAAGTTACCTGAATTTCGCGGTATATCACATGTCGATCTTCCTCAATCAGCTTACGCACAGCATCAACGTTTTCTTGGGTGACTGCAGTTTTTGGACGACCTTGACGGGGATCATCACTGAGCTTGACACGTCCACGTTGAAATTCAGCAAATCAGCGATAAATTGTGGTTTTGGATGGGGCTTCATCACCAAATGCAGAAATCATCCGGTCAACACACTGTTTTTGTGTTAAACCACTTCGAAAGTCATAATAAATCATCGCTCTTGAATTTTCTCGAGTCAATTCCATTTTCTCAACGACTAAACAAGTTTGACAAAACCTTGTGACAAGACCGAGAATCTTTTTTTAAATAAATAAATGGTATTCGAATTTTAACCCCAAGGACTTTTCAATTAAAAAAAAATTAATATGACAGGAACAGTGGAAATATTCCATTCCCGATACTTTTAGTGCAGCCCTCGTATAATGAGCTATATTTTTGTTACTACTTCGTTTCATCATTACTTCTCCGAGTAAGTTAGAGGTTTGCCAATGTGCCACTTTTTTATAGAATAGGGTGATAAACGAGCACAGAGTCCACCTGATGGTAAGTGGATGCTGTTGCCCATAGACATCTAAATTTTATCCTCAATCTAGAATCGAAATGCAGATCTGTTGTCACCCCTGTGGACTAAAGTGGGATGCCTTGTTTCCAGTTAAAAGGGTCTCCGGTTCTCTACACACATCATATAAAACACAGCAGCATTAAGCTGCTATTCTACGCTAATATTCTGTGAGAGCGTGGTCCTATCCCGGTCGAGCCGACCTATTCATGCTACATTCATGTTATGGCTGAAGCGTGGCTCTACCATTTACCAGAAGTTTTCTTCCTCGCACGACTTTCTTGTGGAATGGACTACCACAAGAGATTTTTCCGGTCCGATTCTCCTCTCACTTAAAAGACTCCTTTTAAAAGGCCAATTACCCTGAGGTTGCAGTTATTCATGGGTGGCGGTAGTCACCATCAGGTAAGCCGCATGCTCGTTTGTCCCCCTTTATTTAAATATATAAATAAGTTTGCTCGCGTAACATCGAACTTTACTGCAAACGTTCTAACCTCTGTGGTACTAGGACTAAATTTAAAATTAGTATTTTGTTGTGGTTGTAACATTTAGACTCATTCTACTCGACTAAGGAAGGAGCACGCTCTCACAGAAGACCATTATGAAATAGCAGTTTAATGCTGTTATGTTTCCTGTGGTGAGTGTTTAGAACCGATGCATTCCATTTTTCCATTATTCTTAATCGAGGATAGATGTAGGCGTGTATCCATTTAGCATCAGGTTCAGGTGGACTGTGTGTTCATTTATAATAATTACTTCAATAAAAATATGGTTTTTGTTATTTGTGTTTACGTGTGTTTACCCAATGACTTCTAGGTATGTATACAACTAGACGGGCGCTGCGGTACTAATACATTGCGCACTAAGTTACGGTCAATTCTCCGTAACTTATTTAGTCGACTGCGAGCTACCGAGTAGACTAGTTCTTTGTTTTGTAAACCGCGAACGTTGTTTTCGACAATCTAACACTGATTTTGTTTAATGTTACTAAGAAAATGCTGTCATTATTCATATGCGCGCGTTTCAGATAATTATGTAACTGTTCTTTCGTATTTGTCTAAAAACAGTAGATGTCTTAAATGAAAATACAACTGTGGGATATATATATATATATATATATATATATATATATATATATATATATATATATATATATATATATATATATATATATATATATATTGGGTGACAAACGAGTACACAGTCAGTGCAGTGGCCCATAAACATATACATTTATCCTCAATTAAGAATCAAAATGCAGATGCATTTGTCACCTCTGAGGATTAAGAGGGAATGCCTCGTTTTCAGTGAAAATAGTCTCCGGTTCTCTACACTCACCATCCGAAACACAGCACCTTTAAGCTGCTATTTAACGCTGGTATTCTGTGAGACCGTGATACTACCCCGGTCGCGCCGTCTCATTTTTGCTACATTCACAATACAGCTGCAGCATGCCTCTAACGTGTTTAAATATTTACCGCGACCACACACGGATCTTTACGCTGTCCACAGCTGTGACGCAGTTTTTATTCTGAATTGGCGGTCCAGTACTATACATAGAATACTTTGTGTTGAACATATAGTTATCCTTTATTTCTTTCTTTTTGTCTTTCTTTTCTCCAACAAAATAATAATTACAGTTCAAGTAGTGACCGCATATCCGGTCGCATCACCGGCGCCGTATCCGCATCCGGTTGCTCCGTATCCGGCGTCCACGGCGCCGTATCCGGTCGCCTCGCCGTATCCGACCGCTTATCCGAACGCCGGGGCTCCGTATCCGATGACCGGGGCCCCGTATCCGACAGCCGGCGCCCCGTATCCGACTCATCTACCTCAACCCAGCGCTCCGAGTGCACCTGAAGCGAATGGTATGTAACATTTCTGTTATTATTCTTAAAGATGTTAAAATTATTAGCTAAGGTCCGCGTGATAAAATAAAATAATGTTTTTTAAATTTGAAGAGAACCTCCCGCCCTCCCCCCAAATTGCGTGCAATATCCCCGTCGCTCTAAGAACTCAAATTAAACAAGTCTTCTTTTTTAATTCAATGATTTACCTTGGTACCTATGAGTATAACTTGGTATGCATCTTGTTAACCGACTTCAAAAAGGAGGAGATACTCAATTCAACTGTAACTGAGCGATTTTCGGTAGAAGAAAAACTTATGGTTTCGCGTCACCGATGACCTTGACATGCTAGTGACGACGCGCTGACGCGCAATACGTTACGAGCATACCTACTACACGTCGCTAGTCAGGCGCAAGCCTGACTAGCGACGCGTAGTATAGCGGTCTGTGTACATGTATACGCATATATCATTGAGTTTTCATTACGGGCAGTCCTCATAACTTTTTTGTAGGTGAACCGGTTTTGATGATTCTCTTTTTATTTGAAAGCCGGTTTAAATGTAAATTTGAATAAGTTCTGACCAGTAGTTTTTGAGTTATCCTTTTTTTTTACGTGGTAGAGCCATGCTGCAGCTATATTAATAGTATAGTTGTAGCACGCATGGGTCGGCTCGACCGGGGAAGGACCACGCTCTCACAGAATACCAGCGTATAATAGCAGCTTCATGCTGCTGTGTTTCGTATGGTGAGTGTAGTCTTAGTCCTCACGACTGACAACATCATCTGCATTTTAATTCGCAAACGAAGATAGATGTAGATGTCTATGGGGCACAGCAACCACTTACCATCATGTGGACTGTGTGCTCGTTTGTCACCCTAATTCTATAAAAAAAATTATGTTGAAGTTGGTTGTACATTTTTTTTTAGCACTTGTTCATAGTGCATACGTAGTACGTGCTAATGGCACGTACAATCTAAACTAAGCTTACTTCTGGTATTGGTACTGGTATATTAAATTAGTGCAGTTTAGAGTGTTTAAAAAGTTCATACCAATCTACTGTACCATTTGCTATCTAAGTATTCTATGTCGGAAACGTTTTTTAAAAATGATGTGTTATGAAATGCGGCTTATTATCCCATCTTAGTCCCAGGAGGTGACAACGCATTTTTGTAGTTTTCTTAGTGTTGATGTTGGCTACAGGCGTCCATAGCCTGCAGTTGCCACTTATACCTTACTTAGTAGATTGTAATATAGCTTGTCACTTCATTTTTATACCGTTTGTGCACGGATGTCTTCTCTACACAAGTATAAAACAAGGTCGCTTCCCGCAGTCTGTACGTTTAGATCTTTTAAACTGCGCAACGGATTGTGATGCGGTTTCCATATATAGATAGAATGATTAAAGAAGAAGGTATATATATATATATACTACATGCATATTATATATTATGTAATTCTTCTGTCCGTGTGTATGTGACTGAACTCCTAAACGGCTGGACCGATTTTGATGAAAGTTTGTGTGTGATTAAGTTGATTTAGAAAATAGTTTAGATTCACAATTGTACCCGGTAGGTGGCGTTGTTGTCGAGATCCAGAAATCGTAAGACTAATCGTAATGCTGCACTTTTTACTGAAAACTAGGTATTCCATTTTAGTCCTCCAGGTGTGATACGTCTGCATTTTGAATTTTAATCGAGGATATATGTAAATGCTTATGGGGCACTGTATTCACTCACTATCGGGTGGACTGTGTGGTCGTCTGTCACTCTTACTCTATAAAAAGTTCATAACCTTACATGAACGTGAGTAAGAATCACATATATGTACATAAATGTTATATATGTACATACATATATATCATCCCGTGGATGTCGTGAGAGGCAAAACAATCAGGAGATGGGCAGCAGCGTGTTCTTAATAAAGACTAAAAATAAACTGCGTCAAACTATGTCAAATATGCTCCCACAATCCATGGTGAAGGTCTATGTTCAGCAATAGGCTTTCATAGGATGTAATGATAAAACTAAAGATGATATAAGAATTTGCAACGGCAGTCGCTTACTGATAATTAAAATTACTAAGACGCGTTGCTTACCTCATGCGGTTATCAGTAGGGTTTAGCCTGTTAATATAAAGCAAACATTGTTTTAAGGACATTTAATTGATAGGCCCAATGTGAAAATATGTTGAATAATATTTAATAACTAGCTGCCGGCCCCGGCTTCTCCTACACTAGGATCTCAATTTTTGATTTTTTTTTTAAAAAAAATTTTCAATGTTTTTTTTGGTCAAATATATTTTTTTACGTGTTAGAGTCATGCTGCAGCTATACTAGTAGTATACTTGTAACACGAATGTGTCGGACCGACCGGGGAAGGACTACGCTCTCACAGAGTACCAGTGTAAAATGCCAGCTTGACACTGTTGTGTTTCGTATGGTGAGTGTAGTGAACCGGAGACCCATTTTACTGGAAAAGGGGCATTCCATCCTCACTGGTGATGACGCATCACTGCATTTTGATTCTTTATTGAGGATAGATGTAGATGTCTATGGGTCACAGCAACTACTTACCATCAGGTGGACTGTGTGCTCGTTTGTTATCCTATCCTATAAAAAATAGCCTAAATCCCTCCTGCAGGACTAGCATAGGCATGAGACAATTTTATCCCGGGGAAAGGAGAAAATGTTTATCCCCTCGCTTAGTGGCATCCACTCTTCGAGCATGGGCACACCGGTGGATATAATATCAACTGTAGCTTAGATAGATTTTTGTATGAATACAAAGTTAAACCCACGTCCAAAATGAACTAGGATAAAATTGTCCCTTTCAAAAAAGCATAATTTTTTATCTTCCATTTGGCTCCATTACGACAAACGGAGATATACTTCTCCTCGTTGCCGTGCTTTGGCGTAAGGACAAGATCATTTTATCTCTTGTCAGTGGGATATAATCGGGGGATACATTTGTTGCCCCCATGCCATGCTAGCCGTGCTGGCATTGCTCTATTATTTGTTCGTATTCGTCACAACCGGTCTAGTCATTCCGTAGATTAGTCAAGACAGACGGACAAAAATTTATTAAAAAGTTATTTATATCTTAGTAATAAGAAGTAATTCCCTTAGAGCTTAATATAGTAGTATTATTAATTTTGGTCACTTCGAGCCGCGATTAATTTAACATTTCAGTTCATTAACATTTCTTTATATTATATTACAAAAAATATATACGTATATATTATTAAATTATATTAATCATAGTTATAATATATTAATTATAATTAATATCTCTTTATAATATATTATATATAATTTCCTTTGTAACGCAATACCACACCAAATCATTATTATTTTTAATGATATTTTCCTTATTTCATTAACTGCTATCACGCGAGATAACTTCGTTTAGCAACCAAGTTAATTCCACCATTTTGGTCATTTCATTACTAGTTATTACAGCAGGCTTAAATTTTATTTATATGTATGTATAGATATTTGAATATGTCTGTCTGTGTTCGCTTGGGGACTAAAGATTTCATCACACTCGTAAGTAAAAGCCGAGGTAGTTCTCGTAACTTTTACCACGGAAATTTGAGTCGAGGAAAGCATCGTGAGGAAGTCTGCATGTCTGACAAATAAAATAATTCAAAGACAAGGCCACCAGCCTGACAAGCGTGGCAACTAAGGCAAAAGCCCCCCTGTCAGGCAATCTATGGGGAAGGTTTATGTTCAGCAGTGTACTTTATAGGCTGTAATAGATGGATGGATGAAACAACACTCATTGATCGTGAGTTGTGATGGTCCTAGTGGGGATACTGGGTCATGGGCTCGTAATTATTGTATTGTTATGGACTGCCTGCATTTGACTCCCTTGTAGGCCTACTGGTTGTAGTAGTACGACTTCTGATCATGAGGTTGAGGGTTCGAATCCAGGGTGGGACCAAAAAAAATAAGTTACTGAGGTTTTCCTTCATAGCCTGAGAGCTGGCGACGAATTTTGGGAAGATCCTTTGGGCAAATTGAAATTGTGAAAAAATATAATTTCGTCAATTGGCGAATCCAGTCGCGCGAGTGTGGTTGAGCGTTTGCGGTTATTTTGTTACTGCGCAGTATATAACATTTGCAAAAAAAAAATTCAAAAAAAATGTTCTTTTGGCAACTTGATTTCTTTTTTATCTTTTAATTTAGTTTTTATGTAATTCAAAAAAATAATCCCAGACGTTTTTGTCGGTTATAAAGTATTACCTCCTCTCTAAAAATATTTTTTTTAATTCCCAAAAAATATACTTTTGGCAATCTCAAATTTTAATCACGTGATTATTGAGTAGTTTTTAATGAGACCTGCAAATCGCCAGATGAATTTAGCGGTTTTAAACAATTCCCAGACATGAATAAAGTTTACCAACTAATACGACAAAAAAGTCTTACGCGTAGCCATAAGTGCGAGAAAGATAGCTTATCGAAGCATGCCGGCAGCGGATGGAGTCCTAAGCTCCTCGCGCTGTGATTGGTTACTTAGAAATATTCTTTTTGAAGATTTTAAGATTAAATTCTTGTTTTAGGGTTTAACGAAACACATCCGAGTTTGGGCTCGTTTTGTTAGTTATGATGAGACCTTGCCTTAGAACTACAATTAATAGAATCAGGCGTTACTTTGCGGAAATCCATTATAATGGGGTTGTTATAAACTAATTTGCTTGATTCCGCGTAAAGAAAGAAAATGATGTGTCCTGCCCCTTAAAACTGGGCTAAAACTAAATATTAACTATATACATAGATATTTACATGTCCATATATGCGCATACATACACGCTAAATCCTAAAACAAGAATTTAATCTTAAAATTTTCATAAAAAATATTTCTAAGTAACCAATCACAGCGCGAGGAGCCTAGGCCTCCATCCCAAAATTCGTCGCCAGCTCTCAGGCTATCAAGAAATTCTCAGTAGCTGCCCCAGTCAGGAAGTTGACGGTGTCTCACACATAAGCACGTTAAGCCGTTTGTCCTGCACCTGATCTCTC